ATCACTAAGTAAGAATAGAGTTTTCTGAGTGATGAATTTCATCATGTCGACATAAAAAGTATTCACGATTTCTCTGAATTGAAGATTTTTCCTGGATCGAGATTCCTGTTTCGCATCGCATTTCGTATTCGAGTGAAACTTGAATGCCATCTAGTTTACTCACTTCACGTACGCATCACAAGTCGTCATTTTGTGTCGCGATGATCTCGAGAACCATAAATCGTAGAAAACTCGTTGAAACGTGAGATCGAAGTATCAAGATCGAACTAAGAACATCTGTTTTCGAATCTTCAATCTGCAGTTTCGTTCGCTCATAAATGTGCTTCCAAAATGACGAAAATGAAAGAAATTTATCAAGAGATAATTAAAATGACGTCATGAACATATGTTAGCCACTATAGTCTCTTCATTTACAGCTGATCTAAGATAATGAATCATGGAGATAATTAATCGATCAATCGAAATCGATCCTTAAGAATGTATCGCTAAGTAAGAATAGAGTTTTCTCAGTGATGAATTTCATGATGTCGACATAAATAGTATTCAAGATTTCCCTGAATTGAAAATTTTTCGTGAATCCAGATTCCTGCTTCGCATCGCATTTCGTATTCGAGTAAAACTTGAATACCATCTAGTTATTATTTGATTGTTCATCTGAATCTCGACAAAATAATCGATTGCTGAAAAGCAAACGTAGAGTACAAGCAAATTGTATTTGTCTTTTCTTCAAGATAGGTCATAGGTCAGTCTGTTTTTCGATCGAAAAGATGTAACACGATAAGTGTATAGATGAATTTATAGAGAATTTTAAGCATTATGAAGCTATGTGGTTAGTTTCTCGAAAGCACTAGTCGATAGTAATCAAACAATACAAATATCGGATATTTCAATATTTTTACGGGTGAAAAGTTTTGATGAAAAAGTTAACGCTTCTGCTAGGCCACAATTTAATCTGCTAAACTTTTGAGAACTCCATTCAATACATTTTGAAGTACTCTTTCAAATGAAACTATCCTCAAGGAATTATATCTCACTGATTCGACTAACTTGCCCAAAATGCGTGGGCATACTTTCTGAAAATCATAGATGATACCAATTAAAATTTATTCAAGGATGAAATATTTTTATAACTATCAAAATGTAGCCCGTATGCAATAATATCTTTGGTGAAAAAATCTCAGTGATAACTGTTAATTACTAGAGAGAAAATGAAAGTATACTGAAAAGTATTGCAATAAAAAAAAGTCTAATTTTGATCGAGTACCGACACTTTCAGGTCTCATATCTCGAAAATAGTTCATCCGCTTGAGCTGAAACGTCAAGTTTATTCTTAACTCTGATGTAAGTATCTGCTATAAAAGTATCAGCCAAATCCGCAAGATCGATTGAACAATGATGATCGTAACTTATGTACAATGCCTCCTAGAAGATTGTATTATTCCATCAATCATTTCAGGAAAGTGAAAATCTACCCTATGAGCCTATTTTAGCTAAGAAGTTAGATGCTGAAATTCTTTCCTACTAATGTAAGATACATACCCTAAAATTCGGATCATGAAATCTAAAGGCTACTTCTAATGAACAACAGACTTATCGCTTACAATGCATTCTACCCATGTAATAAAAACCGCATGAAAATCGGCAACTTTTCCGGCTCCCATGTCAGTGTAATTTACCGCAGGAAGGATAAATGGCGCGGTTTACCACAAAAAATGGTCAGGCATTCAAAACATGGGTAGGCATGAGATCCGAATTGCAATTCATTCTCACCAAAAATAGAATCGGATTACTGTGTACCATCAGTTAACTTTTATCGTTTTGCAAGCAAATAAAGTTATTATAACTCTTTTTATTTTTACTGACGAATATCTACAGTTCAAATATCTGACTGCAGTTATTTTTAAAAAAATTGAGTAATTATAAGAACACTTGAATCTATCTATATTCAATGCGAATTTACATTTGAATCATTCCTAGAAATAGATATAATTTTTGTTTTAAAGAAAAAGAATCAAGATAATAATCAATGCATACCAGCTCGTTTAAGTCCATAATTGAAACATTTTATTGAACAATATCGTTCTTGTACTGGAACAGCGAATGATTGATTGGCTGCTGTTACATGTACGGTTACTCCAATTGCTGATAATTGTTTCGGTACAATTATTTCACCAAATCTAATAAAACATGCCGAAGCACAATGAGCGCACGTTTCATATTCATCGAGTAATAAGCATAGAGTTCGAGGAATTGTTTTGAAATCATAAGGAATTCTAAAACAAACACTCATTTTTTGTTTATGAAAAGTTTAATAATATCAAAAGTTTACCTATATTTAATAACAGCTCGAAGCGCTATTTCAAGAAGTGTCGTGTTAAAACGTTTGCATGTAATCATTTTTTCTGTAGCCAATGGATTATCATCATAATGAAATGTATGCAAACGTGTACCACCAGACGCTATTGAATTAGGTATGACCCGAACCAAATTTGATGCAACATTGAATACTTGTAATTGCGGTAATACACGTAGAATTATTCTTGGAATGCATTTTATTTTATTCGATGATAAATTTAATCGTTCGAGAGTACTTATATTTAATAAAGCTACGTCGAATTTTTCTAATTGATTTTGGCTTAAATCAAGATGTTTAAGCGTAGGACATTTGATATCATTGGGAAAAGATTTTAATTGATTCGAACGAATTATTAACGTATGCAAATGATTCATTTGAATACCGGATGGCAACTCGGTTATATTATTATCAGATAGATCAAGTGTATGTAAATTTTTAAGTGTAAATATTCGACGATCAACAGGTGTACGCAGATGAGCTGCATTGACAATTAGTTTTTCTAATGTCGATGGAAAACCTTTCAAAGTTGGATAATCTATTGCTTGATTGACTATGAGTTGTAGTGCAGGCCGTTGCAGTTTTTCAACAGCATTGATCGATATTGATCTAATCGAAGATGGAAGATTACTACCAGTCGATGCTAGACGAACGCTTGAAAGTAATGTTTTTAATGATTCAACATTAGCCTGAAAAATCACAAGAGCAAATTTCAAATAGATACAAAGAAAATTTTTATCTTACCTCACACAATTGTACATCGTGAGGTGGCATTTTAATTTGAATAGTAGCCATGCCATTATTAATACATCTATGGAGAAGCGCTTGAACATTATCACGAAGCTAGAAGAAAACATGTCTATATTCTTTTATGCTAAAGAAGAAAATCAGCTTTTACAAAATTTAATATCTAGCAGTATGAAATTACATTCCGATTCGAATTTTCATCCGTTATTAGGGGGTTAAGCTTGAGGGTGCGGGTGTTTATCGTGTTTTTACACCCGTACTCTAAAATAGAGAATTCAAGTTCTATCTCGTACTAACAATCTACCTTATATTGTGTAGCATTTGTATCTTTGAAAAGTCGAACAACAAGAACCCATTCATCATTATTTGATTTTGCAAGACCAACAACACCTTTCGCAGCTTTTAATGTTGATGATCCATTTGTTCTTTGTCGATCTTGAATTTTAATTTTACAATCTAATTTCATGTTTCAATTAAAACGAATAGAAATTAATCGTTTTGAATTTTGTCTGTATATCGAAAACAATGAACGAAACAAAGCGTATTGGTCAACATGCGCATATAGCACCGGAAAAAAAGAAAGAAATACTTGGAAATGAATCAAACTAGTCTGTTGGAGATGACACCACTTTATGATAGTATTATTATGATTAGCTATATCTTAAGTTGATATGAAAGAGAATTTATACAATGGATGATTGTACAATATTCTTTTCGCCCAATACTAAATTGAGATATTTCGTACGTTATTTTTGCAATCAAATGTTTAGTAAATTTGAATTCATGACAAAATAAAAATGTAGATGATAGATGTGCGTCAAGATTTCTGCTGAGAAAAAAAATTCCATTGAATTCAATCGGTACTGAAAAACGTGTTGTTTATTTAATTAGTTTGTGTACAACTACAGAACATGTCTTGTTTTACTTCGTGGACAAGAAAAAAAATACGAATTCATCTTGAATGTACAAGTAAAAATGTCAATAGAAAAAAAAACTAAAAAATATAAGAGAAAAATCTCTTTTTCTATAACAAGAAGAAGAAAATAGTTTGCGTTTCTACAAAAGCATTAAACCGGATTTTGATATTTTAATGTGCGCTAGTTGCCGAATTTGCTACATGTCCAATTAAATAGATATTATCATAGAAGTGACCAGCTAATTCGTCGCTCAATGCTCCATTAATTATGGCACGGCGTGTATTCCGAATGAATTCACGTTTAGACATTTTATTTTTTACATGTGGAGATGCCAGATCAATTGAAAGTAGAATCAATGAAAAACATAGAACATAAATTGTTTCTAAACGATATAACGTTAAACAGAAGATATTTTTTCTTACGATAATAACATACCGATTGATAATCCAAGATTTTGATTGCATGCATGGAAACGTTTTGAAAAATTTTCAATTAATATCGACAAGTATTCATTACGTTCTTCAGGTGCATCAAGTTTGGCAAAAAATTGACGTAATGCATTTGGTAAAAATTGATTTTCATAAGATTGAAGTTCAATTAAATATTCAAGTATATCACGACTAAAAAAGGATTCAAATCTGATAGATATCGGAGATAATATGAAATTATCTATTGTTAAGGAATCAGAAGAACGAGAAATGAGCTTGTCGGTCATCGCTGACACCCTCCAATAGTATTCGAGTTTGATATTGATTATCTAATTTATTACGTACCGTTCTTTTAATAATTTACGCTTTTCTAATGTACGTAATTTATGCGTATGATGTATGAATTTACTGATTTCTTCACATGTATCATCGATCAATCTATTTTCAATCATATACATCAAACCCTAAATGAGCACAAAATATAGATAAAAATAAAAAAACTAGAAAAAATTGTTCACCTCTCCAGCATTAAATCTTAATGTTCCTTCATCAAGTTGTAAATAAATTTTACGAAATGAAATCCTTTCATGATTAGCTCGCTTATAAACAGATGCATATCCCCACATTGATTTACATAATCTTGAGAATTAAAATATAAAATTATTTCAAATTTGCTTTATTTCTTCGGTGTTACTTACCCAAGCCAAAGAATTTCATCACTTGCTAATGTATGCCAAACACATGCAGCAAGACATAAATCAGTAGCATTTAAATTTTTAAGAATTGCTAAAGCAAGTTCAGGTGGCAATTCGGATATATCGGATATTTTTGTGACTACAATAATTGAAGTAAAAAGTAGAAGTTAAAATTAAATAAAAACTAGAAAACTATACGTTGTTTATTTCCAGAACTTATCGACTCGACATAATTTCTGTCAAGTAGTTGACCCATTGTTAATGAAGAGAGGATCTATTTGAATTCGAATGAATATATAGCCGAGCCGACCGGCCTGCTATGGTGACGTGGATGCAAGTCGTCAACGTGGACAGATGAGTAATATAATTTATAGAATGAGATTCTAGGCTTTTTTTTATCGCTGTGCGAAGGTAAAAGAGAGAAAAAAACAAAACTAAATGAAGACTTGAACAAATTTTGAAATTTTCTATTCTATTCTTTCCTGTTCAATGATTGGTCAATTACTTATCAAATAATTATTTTTCAAATAGACAATTAAATATAATTCTAAATTCATAACAATATTTCCTTTTTTTCATTACAACTTATCTAAATCAGAATCCCATGATTTTTTAAATCAATAATATGGATACTTAGCAACCATTTTGTAAGATAGATACGCATGGCGTCAAACTTTAGCAACATAACACCGACACAAACGATCTACAAAATTATTTTATTCACAAATTAGCATTATCAAAGTTAAGCTTTTTTTTCGTTTAAAAATATTTTTTCTAATATTTTAACGAACAATATTCACATAATTAATAAGTATTTAAAATCAATAATTTTGATTTCAATTAAGTGAGGTGTCAAAAATTACGGGTTTCACTTATAATTGAGGAAGATTGCTATGATAAACATTTAATTAGCTTAAATGTTTCTTGGCATACAATAATTCTTGAATAAGGACGTATTCTGTCGAATCCGTTATTCAAAATTTCAAAAAGAAAATTGCCGACGTATTTTTAGATTATACTGATATATCGTCGATAAATTTAAAAAAATCAAACAATGTCAATCATTCCACCATCTGGTTCACTTGTTCGTTTTGATAATCCGACACTGATAACGGCACAGAATGAAAGAGATCGTAAAGTACTCGGTGCTGGTAAACAACAAACAGCATTAGATCAACAAATGATGGATACTACTGGTGGTGGTGGTGGTGCTACAAATTCGCCACGTTTAACTCGAAAGCCACAATCAATGAAAGATTTATCATTAGAAGAAATTCTCGATAAAATTCTTCCACCGAAGTAAATATTTTCTATTTGTCTTTATAAGTTTTTCTTGAACGAAATTCTCGTATAGGATTACAAAAGATCCAAATAATCCTGATTTACTCTATTGTCAACGGATATCATCTACACCGGCAACACGTCTTGATGTCATTAACTTACAAGAACAATTAGATATGCGTTTACAACAACGGCAAGCTCGCGAGACCGGCATTTGTCCAGTACGACGTGAACTATTTTCACAATGTTTCGGTAAAATTTCAGTTCGAATTGTTTTCTTTTAAAATTTCACTGAAAACTTTTCTTTTTCTAAAACAACAAATAGATGAACTCATTCGTCAAGTCGCAATTAATTGTGCTGAACGTGGTTTACTTCTTCTACGTGTACGTGATGAATTACAAATGACTTTACGTGCCTATCAAACACTCTATGAAAGTAGTGTTGCATTCGGTATGCGTAAAGCATTGATGGCTGAACAAGGAAAATCTGAATTAGAACGAAAAGTTCGTACCGCAATAGGAACCGTCATTAGGATTTTATTCGCACTTATGTTCCGCTTTTAGTTAGTACAACTTGAAGAAGATAAACGTGATCTTGAACGACAACTTAAAGAAACAAAATCTAATGCAGAAGCAGCTGAAAAGAAATTGAATGAACAACGTCAAGTTGAAGAAAAAAAACATATGGAAGAAATAAATTTTTTGAAAAAAACCAATCAACAACTCAAAGTCTGATAATTAATTTAACTAGATAGAAACATATCAAACAATTTATTTATTTTTAGGCACAATTAGAAGGATTAATCGCTCCCAAAAAATAAATGACAATGATCATGTTACTTTACTGTATACATTATTATTATTAATAAAACGATCAAATGATAAGCATTACTTTTCAAAATTATATATTTTTTGGTTCTTCCCTATCTCTTTTTTTAAATAAAATAAAATCCAATTCTTTGAAGAATAATTTTTTGCGAATCATAACATTTTTATTATTTCGCTTCGAGATTCTATGAATCATTTAACAACCGAAAGAAAAAAAAAGCCGAACTAGGCGCCTGTTAACAGGAATTGTGAGCATATCATCTACCAGGACCATCGAGGACATTGGCGACCTCTCTCGACTATAATGACAATATCTTTTGCTAATAATAGTACAATCAAATTTAATCCATTCAATCAGATACATTCATTCTTTTTTTGTCTTGTCTTGTCTTCAACCTTTTCGATTAATGTTAGCAGAATGAGCACTGGCAAGAAATCCGCAAGTATGTATTTTTTATAAATAGAATTTGTGTACTATAGAATTAATGACTTTTCAAGAAAAACGAAAATTAGAAACATCATCACCAGCAGCTACAACAACAAAAACAAAGTTACATGTCAATCGACGATTAGAAAGATTACGTAGTGGTCAACACAATTTGTGGCAGGACGATGATGATCACGATCTTGAGCCATATGTGCAAGCAAAAAAGCCTGTGATGAACAATAAAACATATATTGTTCTGTCTGATTCAGATGATGAGAAAACTTCATCGAAAAATGATAAAAAAAAGAAAAAATCATCTCGTATGAATAATGAAAATTTAATATCTGATAATGATTATAAACCAACATCGAAATGTGTGACATGTTTGGTTTGTTCTATTCTTACAACATTGACACCGTATAATTGCTGTACAAAACATTTATCTTTACTTATTCATAAGAAACATTCTCATGGAAACGATTCAAGACAACCAATGAAAGATAATCAATGGCCACCAAAACAAGTTATGATCGTACCCATAACTGATGATCTAATTCAACGCTATGTTAATCCACAAGAATTCTATCACATCAAAGCATCACCATCACAGAACAGCACTGTCCAATCCACTCGATCAGTAAGTTAAATACTGTTGATTATTAATGTGCAGTAGAAATGTGATTTTAGAAACGAAAATTATCAAAAAGCTCAACAACATCAGAATCATCTGATGCTGATCTGTCACAAGTGAATAAACTAAAATCGTCGACCAAGTAAGATGTCTACAATTCGATTGAAGTTTCCATTTTCCCTCGCTTTTTCTTATATAGTTGGATAAAGCTCACTTGTTATGAACATAGACAGGAGATATTTTTCAAGTTCTTACTAAAAATTGTGCTAATCAAAGTCTCTGAATGAAAACTAAAAAGACTAGGCGCTTTCAATTTCTCTGTAAAACTATCGTTTGTATCCCAAAGTCGAATTTTGCAATATTATTCATAGATCTACAAGTGTGGAACCTGAACAATTGAATCCTTCGCCTATTATCGTCGAATCACTACTTCAGAATTCCGGAAAATTTTCACAAGATACAACATATACCGTTATTACTTCTACATCAACATCAACATCAACAACAATCAGTAGTTTTGAAAGTCCAAGTCTTCTCGATACTTGCCAATTACAACAATCATCTGATCAGCCGATTACTATTTTTGATTCACAACCAAATACTCAAAAGAATCAACAAAATGATCCATGGATACCAACTAACGATGATGCATGTTCTCCTATTGAAAAGTCTCTTAATCATATTGAACCATCGCCGCAAGAGCAAAATGAATTTACACCGGTAACAGCTCGACGTACACCAACGGATGTAATGGCTTCTCATCTACCTAAAATAAAACTAAAAAAAGGTCGATTTCATCACGGTAAACCTATTCATGATAAAAATACATCTGACACCACCACAGCAAGCGACGGACAATCATCAATTATCTGTCAATCGTCTTCGACTTCAACATCCATTATTATTACAAAGTAATTCAAATTGTTATTTTTATTTTGTTTCATATTTTCTTCGTATCATTTATGTATCAGTAATCGGCCGGTACCATCATTAGAAACTATTATTGAAGATGAATCATTGGTCATTCAATCGACACATCAAGTATTAGAAAAATCTTCTCAATCTTGTCAGGGATTATCACAACGAACTGAAATTGCAACTGAAGGTTTAAGTGATACTATTATGAGTTGCTTATTTGCTCAAGATGAATCAACTGAACATGAAAATATTCATACAACAACAAAAACAATATCTAATGAAGGTATAAAATAATATCCTTCTGACAAAAACTAATATTTATTATTTAGTGCTTCCCCCTCCTCCTCCTCCTCCTCCTGCAATTATCATCGAAGATTATTCGCATAAAAACGATGTTAACAAATCAGCAGATCTTTCCCAATCGTCACAATTAACCAATGGTCAAACTGATTTTCACGAATCAATTCTATCTACTGATACTCAACAGCCATCAAAATCAGCGCGACGATCAATTCGTATGAATCCCGATGGATCACGTATTAATATCTCACGATCATCATCATCGACATATCATCAATCATCACTAACTACTTTACGTCATGTAAGCAAATTAATTCATCAGTTTTTCTCATTTTCAAGTTGTGTCTTCTCATAGGTATCCAAGGACGCAATGGCTAATTCATCTCGTACAAAGAAATAATTGATATCGATATTTGAACATTTTGTTATATGTGTAATATATTTTTCATTTACTTTAGCTATAGTTTGTATACAAGAAAAATAGATCAGCCATGTTTTCAAAATCCAAGTGGTTTTATTTAATTTAAAGAGATTTGTAAAAACGTTTAGGTCTGAAAAATAAAAACTTCTATTCAATGCAAAATAATTGTATTATTTATAATGGAAAAAAATATGTATGTAAATTTCGGACTCTAGATGTCCAAGACAACAAATGTATTTATTACAAATAAGGAACAAAAATAAATTTCTATATTATGAGTCATATTTTAAAGACCATCTGGATCTATTTGACTAAATATCCGTCCAGGGCTCTTTTTATTGAATATTTTTGATTGTCCTTCCTGTTTCAAAGGTAATGGTACTTGTGAGATGATATCCGTTAGTGGTTTTTCTTCATCATATGCACTGGATGGATTCTGATCAGATTTTGTCGAAACTGAAGATAACGATTCATCACTGTCATTTCGGTCTAGGAAACTTTCTGTTCCGTTAGTTTGATGGTGTAGATAAAAAAAGCCAAGACACGCTATTAATGCCATAACTCCAATTATAGAAAGTATAATTATGACATATTGAATGTGAGGTGATGATTTTTTATTTGAAGGAAGTTTCCCTAAAGGTACAATTGATGTAGTAGACGTTTTCGAAATCTTCTTTGATGTTTTAATATTGATTGCCGGCTTTTTAGAAGTAGTATTGGTCATCATATGTGTTGTTGATTTTATACCGAAGGTGATATTAGAAATATCTGTTGTAGTTGAAACCAGAACCTCACTACTATACATAGGTGTACTAACAATATCTGATGACATTAGAATATCACGAATAGTAGACGTTATTCGTGATGAAGTATTATTGCCGGTTAATAGTACTGTAGTGTCGAACTCCGTAAAAGAGGCGATTGGCCGTGCAGTACTAATCGTGATCAATGTTGTAAGATCATCAATTTCGATGGAATTAGTTGTTTGTTTTGTACTAGTCATAGTTGTTTCATTAGTGTTGACGTAGGTTGCATGCATAGTCGTGCCGATTTCTGCAGTAGTAATGAGAATAGATGATAATAGCGTTGTTTCTATCGTACTGGATGAAGTCATATCATAGACGCTAGTTGGCGCAGACGATGGTGATTCCGAAGACAGGATTGCACTAGTCTATTGGATATGAATTGATCAGCAGTGTCCAAGGACTGAGAAACAGGAATTCCTAATGTGCCGAGGAATTGCCAGTGTTGCTGTGATAATTCCTAGAGGAAATGGGAATCAACTATCGGTTCTCTCACAGTTCGTCCATTCACGATAGTCGTGATATTGCTGTTTTAAAAATAGTTTTTGCATGAAATCATTGATTCTCACAATTTTGCGAGTGAAAATGAATGTAAGAGCAAAAACTATCGTGAATATTCCATATTTTTACCTTTAGCATGCAAAGAACTTTACGAGAACTGATGAGGAATTCCTAATCCTCAGTCCTTGGACACCCCTCATTGAATATGAACACAAATCTCATACGTACATATACATTGGTACTGATCTTTTCTAATTGACTGTTATAGTAATATCCGTTTTTCAGTTGCCAGTCCATTGGAAGATGCGATGAATTGAGAAAAAAACTTCTTATGTGATTCCAATCTATTTGTTTCAATAAAATTTCTGACTGAGGATAATAAAAACACACCGATTCAATTGTGTATTCGGCTTTTACAATGCATTTATGTTTTTGAATAAAACTAGATTGATTAACAACCATACGACATATGATTGGTTGGGCGTCAAATTTCATATATAAGGTATGCATTTCATCAGCTTCAGATGAAAAACTTTGTTCACCGAGTTTAATACGTATGCTATCATTGTCACATTTGGCATGGAATAAATACTGACTAGAAGTACTATTGACAGAGCCAGTGAGATGAGACAATGGATCAACGAGTAAATGTTTCACGGATGTGGGACATACACTTTTCGTTTTGTTGTTTTTCTTCATCGAATATTTCGACTTAATATAAGGGTGCCATATCTTTTTTGACTCATCGCACTTGACGTAAAAACTAAATTCTTCGATTAAATCCGGTGGATCTCTTTCAAATAAGTGACTCTGATTTATGCATGATATGTTCCATGCAGAAAATTGAATCCAATCGTAAAAAGCCAGGTATTCATGTTTGGAACATCTTAACAAATTATTGCCTGTTCCAAATAGAAATTTGAGTTTGATCGTATAAGCTGTATGAAAAGAGAAAATAAAGATAAGATGAAGAAACGTATGTTTAGAAATCATATTTAAACTTAGAAGAGAACAATAAACAGAATATATATATATCCGCGCCGAATATACATTTCCTTTTTTTTTTATTGAAAAGTTACTTGCAGAAATTATCGTAATGCACTATTAACATAGTAAGACTGACAGTAAATAATATGTCTTTTCAAGTTCCATCGCATATCCAAGGAAATTGTTTATTGAACAAATGATTGTGTTTGTTTATGATGATATTGAGCTAATATAAAGAAGTATTTTTAGAAAGTAGTATCTATGATATTCGAAGCATGAATAAGTTATGTAGGATTATTTGCTTGATATCTATGAGAAAACTGGTGCTCATCAACAAATACTAAGATGTTACAACGAAGAAATAGATCAACGATATAGACTTATACTTATTTGAATCTTAATATTAATAACGATACAGCAATCGCTCGAATAACATTTTACATATTGAATGTATATTCAATAATTCTAAGATGGAATTCGACAACAAAGGTGTAAAGAAAAAAAAACATTTTCTATGATTCTTTGCATTTATTTATTGGTAAAATTTCAAAAAAGTGCTGGCTTATAACCAATTTTATCCCAAAAATCACAATCATCCTTCAAATAACTTTGTCGAGCTTGTAATGGATCTTGAAAATACATGTATTGTTCATTTCCAGTGGTAACTCTTGGCCACGGCGTTGATACACGCGCTGGTTCATTTGGATCTTGGCTTGTAGCAAAATTTGTCCAATACGTAGCCATACTTTGAGAAACACGTCGTCCAGCATCAGTAAAATTTACCCAGGCCGATTCAAATAAAAATGGTAATTCAGCACCATGACAAGAATGTCCGTTACAGAATGTTTCATTTCCCCAACCATCAAAATCAAGTGGATAACCAAAAGCATAATAATACGAAGCGGCTTTACGTGCGAACACGCGATTTGAACAAGCCCATACCCACTGTGTAGCTATACTTGATAGCAGTGGGCGGACATCAGAAACACTGTCGGGTGGAAAACGCTCGAGAACTTTAAGAGCTTTTTCGCGAAATGTACCCACAACAATTTCAGCATAGAGTTCTGGCGTTAACGGTTTTGCCCATCCTTCATAAACGAAAAATATAGCTTCTTCAGTTAATGTGCCAATAATAAGTTGTTTAAGTGAAAATGATGTATTATAAACAAGATCAAGAGGTTGACCATGTACAATACTATGATCAATAACTGGTACCCATGGTTCAAAGAAAAGTAAAATGTCAAGTGAGGTTATCATATTGTTAATGACACTTTGAGCAACAACAATATCTTGATAGGAAGCCCGACGAAAACATGATATATCACCTACTGCACAATGAAGCTGTTCAGCAACAAGAACACTCGGTGTTATATATTCTGCATATGTTCTATGCAAAACAAAAGCAAAGATTTATGAACATCAATGTGAAATTTTTATTTCAATAGATTACCGAAATGGAATTGTTAAAGGTGCACTTTGAATAATGGCTCGTTGAAAAAATGATTGCATATCACTTGAAACATAATGTAAAGCAATTGATTGACCACCAGCACTTTGACCAAATAATGTGATCTATAAAGATAAATATAGGAAAATTTTTCTTATAAATCAAAAATATTCTAACCTCATTTGGATCTCCGCCAAATGCATTAATATTGTCTTTAACCCATCCAATAGCTAGACGTTGATCAAGAATACCAAAGTTTCCTTTTATATCATTAGGACCTGGACCCGTTGCCAGAAAACCGAGAATACCTATTTTTCGAATCAAATAATAATAATAATAATAATAGTAAGGTTTTACTTTTCCGTTGGCTTACCTAATCGATATTGAATGAATACAACAATGACATTAGTTGTATTAACGAAACGCTCCGATTCATAGATTGGCGCTGAAGCATCAAGAAATTGAAAATTACCACCAGTAATAAAGATCATAACAGGCAATGGCGTTGGTGCAGATGTCTGTGTAGGTATTGGCGTAAATATATTTAGATAAAGGCAATCTTCAGAAATCTAAATACATAACAGTTCAAATAAACAAACAAAATATTTACATGCTCAAAATCAAACATACCACAGCCGGACATAAAATAGGCGGAACTCGGCATTCAGGCTGTGGACAACCAGGTGGTGGTTTTGTAGCATTTAATACACTTGGAGCCCATCTACCTGTAGCTACTGGAGCTTCCCATCTACATTACATATGAATGAATTTGAAACAAATAGAGTATAAATGACAAAAAGAAATTTTACGAAAATTTTCTTTCTCGTGATTTAATCAAATTCGTCAAGTTATCGAGGGAAATATTTTTATCTAACTAAGCCAAAGATATCTGCTCAAATTTTGAATAATCGATCTCGTACAAACTATCAAGTATACCTTAGATCATTAACAGGCGGTTCAGCAAATGGAATACCATAGAAGATACGAGCTGTATCCGTTTCAAATCCAAGTACATCTCCATATGTTGTGGTTACAGTAACAGTTCGATTAGCATAAGTAGTTTGTGTAAAACACGCCAAAACAAAGAGCCCAAACACGCCTATCGTCATGCTGCTGCAAAGTAAAAACGAAATAGTGAAGATGTATTAGAAGTAAAAAAAAAGATACCTTTAGTATATGCAATCTGTGGTATTTGTTTTGCGTTTATTTATTATAACATGATAAGAGCAAAATGTATTTTATCACACATAAAACAAAATTATCAAATTTTATCGCAGAACTACTGCGGAAAAAGGAGTGATTGTTTGCCTAAAGAATTTTTATCATATGTTGCACAAGCCTTAGAATAGAATTTGTTCTAAAACGATGCTAAGATCCTTTTGATGTTTACTGTGTTTAATAAATGGCTTAAAATCTATAGAAGTTTTAATTTTTTTTGTTGGAAGCGCGAATAGTTTTTAATTGACAAGGTAATTTTTAACTAGTTTTTTTCCTACCGAATGTCATTGTATTAAAAAAAGAAAGAAACATATCATGAATTTCGATCGAAACTCAATGAATGAAAACAATACTATTCATATTCTATCGAAAAATTCATCGCGACGACTTTTTGTACATAAAGAAAAAATAATTCCTTCGCCCATTTCAATTGTCGTACCTTCAAATCGAAATTGTTGTGGAAATAATGAAAGACAAATTATTGAACATTCATTGATTAAGAAGAATAAACTCGGTGAATCTAAAGATAATATTATTTCCACACCAAACGATTTTATAATTGAAGTACCTAAGCAAACGAAATCTGCAGGCATTGTATTCAAAGAAAAACAACCATTATTCTATGAAATTCTTAATAATGCATGGCCATTTTCGAGTGAACGTGTCGAAACTTTAACGATTAGTACGAAAAGATGTCAATTTTCTAATGAAGCAATATCGATAAAACCTATTACAGCTGGTAGATTTGATAGAATTTCTTTTTAAGACAGTGGTGCTAAATGCAATTTTAACTTTTGCTCTAGTCCCTGGTATAGGTAAAAAATATGGTCAATTGCTTGCTGATCATGGATTTATTTATGCTAGACAATTGCTCGGATATTATATGATGTTAAAAGATAGTGAAATGTTTCGAAAATGGCTTGAATACAAATTTAATATTCCAAGATTTCGAGCAGCTGAAAGTAAGAACTGTTCTTAATAGGACATTAAGGCCTCATATTATAGAAGTTAAATGTACCCCGATGAAATAAAAACCAATTACAGCAGGAATCGAATTATATCTTGTAAATGCTTTTGTCTAGTCTCGTATTATACGCGTATAATCTCTATGGGATTGAAATATACAACAGTTACTTTCTGATTTAATGTCTGTCACAAATTGTATGGGTCTCTGGAGGCCATCTACTACAATCTTTGATAGGAGAGCCATTGAAAGTTTCTATCCTGCATATTTCAACATTCGTCCTGATTTGCATTTCGAGAATCAACAGAAACTTCGAGCATGAAATTTAACAACAGTATTATCTATTGTTTGAATTTTTTTTATAGTTACAAGTGCGTTAAATGAACTTGTTCGACGAACGTTGTGACTATTGAATACGTCGTTAGTTTGTGTATGTTTTATTAATTATATTACTATGAATATTTTGTGAAACACGATCTGAAAGGAGTGTTGAAGTATATAGGATAGAAATTTGGGGGCCCCCCCCCCTCGCACAGACCGGGACAGAGAAATTAATTAACTAGTTAGCTGTTTAATTAATTAACTTCTCTGTCACGGTCTGTGATGGCTTATGAGATCTGTCATGGTCTGTGATGGTTTCAAGAGACTCCATACATCATAATACAGACCATAACAGAGAGTCTCCACAGATCATTAGTGACAGTGATAGACGAATTCCAGAAAAGAAGTTTCATCGTGTTTCACATTGTAATCCCACAGGGATTGCGCTAACAGCTTTTTTCTCTGTACACATTAATAATTTAATACAAAGAACGCAAAGAAAGGTCAAATTTAACTTTAACTTATTTTCCTTTCTCATTGTAATTGCTTGTTCCTGACTAATTTTTAGTGGCTTCTTACTAAGTGTATCAATGTGTACTATTCTATATTAACGAATAAGCATTTATTTGCCGTTTTTTTATTCAATATACTTTTCATGCAACAGGAAAATACGGTATTTGAATCAATCAACAGGAATAGAATCATGATGATCCTGAAATGTACAGACGAGCTAAAAAAATTGACTTGAAAAATCATTGTTTGATCATCGTGAATTAACTTTATTCTATGTATGAAAATTAATATTGTAATAATTAGCCAGAGAGAGTAGTTTAAAAATGAACGAGTGTCATTAGACATACGTTGTGAAGTACAAAAACATCTAAGTGTCTTTCCGGCACGTCTATATCATTCCTATAAAATTTGTTTCTCGCGGAAACAAATTCAATCAAGTTTTTCTTCAGTTATCACACGTCGAACAGAAAAACATAACAGTCAAAAGAATTCCCTAGTCGAACTTTTTTTTGCAAGCGCTTGCAATGCTTGACTTTCTTGATCAAAATAGTCAAGAACTATGAACACATCTTGAGGCAGGACATGAGACCTTTTGGTGAGCTCAAATTCTTAAACTTGTTACTCATGCGCTTGAATTTTTATCTAAGCGTTTCTGTTATTAAAGAACTTTTTCAATATTGTTTTCGAATTTTACTCTCAAAATAACTTAACTTTTAATAAAAATGTATAGTTGTATTTTTTTGTAACTCATGCAAACATTCAAGTGCTTGTCTTGAGCAAGAAAGTCATGCACTATGAACACATCTTGAGCTCAAGTCTTGGCAAGTGCATGAATAAAAAAGTTCGGCTAGGATTGTAATCAATCTGATTTCGACAAAAGAAGAATTGAATAGGAGAAGAAAACTATAAAGTTTTCAAATAACCAAAGTTAATATGTACTTAGCACCAATCATTGATTGTCACCTACCTCTTTCTCTCAATTTGATCGTTTAGTAGATCATCATGTTGTTTGCCTCTTGTTGCACTAATATTTTATTAATAAAAACAAAATGAAATAGACTTAAAAAATGCTAGATAATTATGTTTTCCAATGCAATAATTCCTTGTCTGCCATATTTGATCATCTATATTCTTGCCACATTGACTACTATTAAAACAAAATTATATGCTAATATAATTATGTTATTATTTAGACAATAAAAATCATTTATTTGATCGAGAACTGCTCATGTATTCTGTAAACATCATCAAATTTTGTGTTATCATTATTGAATACTAATAACTAATTCCATGAATACCTCTATAGACATGTGTCATGATGTTGTAAAGTGTATTCATTTTTTTCCTACTAACTGAATAGGTTTTAATTTCCTTTCTAAGGTTTTTAGGCACTTCTCATAGTATTATAAAGAAACGAAATTACATGAACCGAAGGTCATTGCCTTTTCTTGTTATGCTTAAAGATTATCAACAACGCAGCAATCTAAGTCAATATTTCTATTATTGAAAACAAAAAGAATCTTAGTTCACATTTTACCAGTGATCGAGAGCTAATATAAACGAAGCGATGCTTTTTGACAGATGTCCAATTGAATTAGAAGAAAACATATGCCATTCGCTAAGTGCAATTTTATGTTTTAATCAGATCATGATAACTAAATTTATTAGCAACTCACAGTTAAGACGAGCGAAAAAGATAAAGCACTTCGTATAACTTTTCGACAAGATAAAATTTTATTTTTCTGTTTTCTTTCCGCTGATAGCTATGTGCTAAAAAAGACTTCCCAGAGTTCATGTCGATACAAACAACTTATTTGTATATATTTTTTTTCCAAATGAAAATTTGACTTTCCACAATTTTGAATAACAGATAGGTTAATTTACGATGACATAATTAAACATTTCTAATTCGTATTTTCATCTTGTTTTTTTTTTCAAATAATTTAATGAACTCTAGCGCTAGAACTAATAATCAGAAGTTTTTCTTGAATAAATTAAATCCTCTACGTGTTTGCTCTATGTATATTTATAAGATCTTATGTCAACAGTTGTTTTTTTTGCTTTCGTATAAATCTGGTCGATCTGTTAAATCACACTGAGATATATATATATATATATAGAAAGATTAATAGCGCATTTATTTCAACCAATTATTGATGCAAAATAAAAAGCTTTGTGTTTATGCCAGACAGAACAATATGATCGATGTGGATCATAGAATAAATTAACTAAAATCAAGGAAGTAACTGAAAAATGTTCGCCTTTGAATAAGATAATTCGTAAACATTTTAACAAAGTTTTGCCAAAATTTATTAGATATGAAAATGATGTTTTGTTTCGTCTAATTAAGAATACAAGATCAATAAATAGTAAATGCTTTCGCTTGTTTTCTTTTGCATACTACAAATACAAAAATCAAGTATGACTATATACAGTTCAATATCATAGTAATAAAGCAAAATCATTTTCCAGCAAAACACCACATTAATTCATTTTGCAATATTTTTCATTAATCTAATTCCATGAGAACAACATATTGGATTGAAACCACAATAAATATAAGAGAGAAACAAAATTCAATAATAGAATTTTATTTTTTAATAAACTATTGCCGATCGATATAATTGCTTCAATTCCATGTATATTACAACCATCATGGTAACACAACTGTTTACAATAAAAACTGTCTGTTTTCTCCATATCTGCGTATGATATAACCGGATCACAGTCATGTTGAATCGTACGCGCTGCTGTACAACCGCGGGTGATTTGAATAACTAGAATTTAAAAAAATGTCAAGAAAGCTAACCTTGGAGGATATTAAGAAATTCACATTATTTTTTCTGTTATCTCTAATATGCACAGTAGCATGCAGAATTCATTTGTTAAATTTTCATTAGAACTGTAGAATGGCTCGAAGACAGAAAAAAAAATCTAAGCCACTTAATTATAGATCACTCTTTGTACAATAATCAATATTCTGATTTATTCGCTCATACATCAGAAAAGCAAAATGTATTAATAAAACAAAAATATCATTTCATTCGGCAATAACATTGATAGATTCGATGAGACACGAATACTAAACAGAATGATCTAGGCATCCATAAACAACAAAATCAGTATCTTCAAATGCAGGAATTCATTAAAAAGATCAACAACGAGTTCATTAAAGTAAAGATCAATCATTTGTCTTTCTTTCGAACTTACGCTTAATGCGTACTAATGCAAAAACAAAAGATTCTGTTAATCTCTCAATTTTAATATTTACATAGAACTACAATTCTATTGACTTATGATGAATAAGCGATATTGATAAAAGCTTACACGCACCCGCTCGTTTATTGATTGTATAAACAGCAGACATACACAGTGGAGAAATTGATTCTGACTTATTATTTTGATCTACGCATAATAATGGTGTTAAATTGCCATCTAAACAGGAATGATCCCAGCTACTTGAGCTAATTTCAATAGAACTTGTACATTGAACACAGTAAAGTTGAGAACCTGGATAAGAGTCGATTTGTTATCAAAATCTATTTTTCGTCTATTAAAATCAACTTACTAGATCGGACAAAACATCCGATAACAATCAAAAGGTATTTGCTAATATCCATATGCATTTGAATGAATAATAATAATCTTCATTTAGTTTAATGACTAGAAAGAAAAAGTGTGCTTTAGTAAAGTCTATATTTTAACTATGACAATACACTCTTCAAATCTTTCACAAATAGTTAGAGAAAGACCGAGCATGCAATGGTAAATAACAGAAAAAAGGAAATCTCAGGGAAACAACATTCTCTCTCTCTTCCTTAGTTGCCTCTTTGCATTATCTATATCGATAGTACTCGACGAATTCTAGCTTTCTTTCTGGTCTGGCGAAGATTAGTCGATAATCCATTTTTACATGTCATAAAGAAAATAATAAAGAAAAAATCTGTTGAAACTAATCAATAGCAATTCTTTTTCTTAATATGTTGGATCTATATGAAACTCGAAATTATGTGTGAAGATTCTTTAGATCTATTTTAATTATTTTCAGATAGAATCGATGACGTCTAGTCTATCGATTGTTGACGCTGTACTATGTGAATTTCGTTCGAAGAAATACTTTTGAGGATAATTCATATGACGTTCTAAACATTACACGCAGAAATAAAATTATTAGTAGCATGAAACTTTCTGCATATAAATTTGACTTTAAAAGCGTATTCTCATGCCTAGAAAAATTGACCGAAATAAAAGTGATAGAAAAAAAGAATTCTTTTTCTAGCCATAGTTCAACCATTAAAAAAGGCTTTTTTCTATAGTACTAAAACGATATGGTGTTGTTAGTTACTACCGGAAAAACCGCCATCATACAACTGCGAAACACATAAATATTTTGGATTTATACGGTAAAAGAAAACAAAACGAGGAGAGAGAAAAAGCTGAGTAGTTAATTTCCTGCCATATAGAAAATCTTAGTCACTTAATGAAATTGATGTATTTTTTGTCTTTGTCTGAACCTTGCAATGTGTGATTAAAACACAAGTGAATCTATTTGCTATTATCAGTATGTGATATCGTTAAAATAAAATAATTAATGTTTGGACTCGTGCATAATTAAGATCTAGTTAATTTATCAGCCTCGTTGATAATTTTTTTGCCGTCGTATAAAAGAAGTATTTAAAAAAGCCGTCTGGCAAAACCTATCAAGTTATTTTATTTCATTCCTTTTTTGAATTATCTACGTCAAAAAAAGAAAGACAGTGACAAAACATTATTTTCATGCTAAATAAGCTGACTTTTTATATTATTATATAGAGTCAATTATCAAGACAGGTCAATCAACTCGTCAAAAATGACGCTATTATTGATTAGGCAACCAATATAGATCAAGATAACACTTTGTTTTCTGTTCTTCATAATCATCGAAGTACGATTCCATACATCAGAACTTTGTAATTCTTTTTTCTTATTTTATGTCGCCAGAAATTCTTATTTGTCTCTTATGACCTCGGCAAGAATGAAAAAAGAAATAGGAACAATGAATCAAGCACATGAAAAAGAAAGAAAATTTTTATTTGTTTTCATTAGTTTATGAGTATATCATTTAAAATTTTTACGTTAATGGATCGGAAGAAAAAGTTAGGCTACTATTGTTAGTCTCTGATAGTAATTTCATAGAGTTCTCGTAATGCAATGTAAATAATTTAAACGAAGAATGTGTTGTGTAACTTTTTTCTCTGTAAATATCTTTCATACAGAAATGAAAACAAGTCAATACTTCTTTAGGTGCTATACATTGTGTTAAAATAGGACGACTGCAAAAGCACGTTCGCTGCAGTAATCAGAGAACATGTTGAGAATTTGAAACATTACAATCAGAGAGAAAAAATCATGCTTTTAAAGAATACACTCCAGCAATATAAATCATTCATTTTTCTAGGTTATGATAAAACCTTGTGGGTTGACATAAATATTAAACAAAACAGTGATAGATTTTCTTGAATATAATAAACGGTAAATATGAATAGAAACTAAATGTTAAACTAGTTTTGGCGCAGGAATCCGAAATAATTTTCCTCGGGGGAATAAACAATCTGCATTTCCATCATCAGATCTATCAACTTCTCATGTTTTCTTATCAGTGCGCACTCTATGTGATAGTGCTACGAGCGACTTTCCCTATTACAAAAACAACACTCTAAGTTTCTCTTTACAGAAAAAAAACAGTAGCCTTCTCTGCCTGTCATAAAAATTCAAGATCTAGCACTATCATCTATTTGATTATAGTGCATAAAAATTGTATGAACGTCTTCGCAATAATTTGAATCTTGCTCTTGAAAAGTCAATGCTGCAACATAAATCATAATGGTCAAAAATTTGTGATGTAATACTTGCAGAACATAGTTGGATACAAGTGACACCTGACCATATTCATCATTATTGGTTGTGCTTGAAACACCTATGAATATAATTCTTTGTTTATAAGAAGAAGAAAAAAATGATATTGAGCTTTTGTATTCTGCGTTAGGTATTAAACATCAAATGAACAAGTTTATTCTGTTGATTTTATTAACTAATCAACAATGTTTTGCTTTTTTGAATCATTATTTTAAAATGTCAGGGACGGATGCTGTCGGTCATGATATTGCTCATATTGAATGTGGTGAAGGTATAAATGCATAATAACAGAAATAAATATACTACAAAAATCCATGTATCTAGGTTATGGCAAAGAGTGTGATATAGAAGAATTAGTGGCTATTTGTAATTCAAATTCATCGTGTCGTGGATTTAATTCAAATGGTTTCTTAAAGTCATGTACATCAGGCTGTGATGCTAATTGTTGTTATGACGTAACACAAAATGTTGATTTATACATTCGTAAAGGATTTTTACCGCCAGATGACTGGCAAAATGATGTCTCCAGTGGTCGAATACTATTTGCTAATCCAGAACCACACTTTTGTTTTTTACCTGAAATTGCGAATGGATATATTGGTACTGTTGCTATGTCAGCAGCTTTATTTCAAAGTGGACTTTTCAATGGCAAAGTAAAAAACGATAACAGGAAAGCAAATTTAAGTAACAAAATTGTTTTTTTTGTTTTTGAATTCAGTGTGGAAATGTTGGAAAAGCAAGGTTACCATCGCCTATCGGTGGTTCGATTATAACTGGTGAACTTATTGCTAGTGCTTTACATTTTGAAAAGGCAATGTTTACACGTCGATATCAATTTGATGATCAAAATGGTTCAATTATTGAACATAGCGTGTACATTAGTCAAACAGTAAGATATTGAATTTGAAAGCTAAACTAATTCTTGAGAAATCGAATTCAATTGTTGATAGTAATGCTCATGTAAATGGCTATACTCATTCATATGCACATCAGAATTCCTATCTCTATGTATGAATTGGATTCAAGCATAGATAAATGCTTTCTATAATTGTTAAATCGCGTAGAAAATGTAAGTCGCATACTACCGTCCTATATGCGCTGGCGCAAGCATGGGCAATTGTAAATTTGACTATTGTTATTTACAAGACTTTGCATCCGGTGTTAATCTATATCACTTTCCGCTCCATCACCCTTGCCATAGCTATGCATTATGTAAGGTTAAAAAAAGCTCGAACTATTCTTGTTCCCGCTAATAAATGTTTCCGTTTGATATGCTACTCAAGTTATAATGATATATAGGAATTGGATTGAGTACATCTAAACTCATATTCATTATTTCTCCATAGAAATAAAATTCGAATTTTTTCTAATCATTCTTTGACTTGTTTCATTTTGGCATTCGATTTTAGTTAAAAAGTGTAATGGTTGTTGAATTTTCCCCTGTCACATCTACATCAAAATTTGTTACATTTTCTTATTCATCAACCTTTGATCCACTGAATCAAACACACAATCCTGAAACAAAATGTACAGGTGGTGGTGGCGTTGAAATTGATGTTGAATTTACATTGAATTCCAATTTATCAACATCATCAATGTACGTCTATGAAGGTGTTTTGTTGAGTCGCGATGATCGTGATCGATTAATTTATGTGACAATATGTACACAACAGTCAAAGGAACCAAATCAAACATTAACAATATCATCACGCGTACAATTCATTTCAACATTAGCAAGTAGTATTGATTTTGGACCGAGTCCCATTGATCAAATGACAGTAACACTTGAAGCAATAAATCGATTTGATGAAGCTTTAACAAAGAAAAATGATTTATTTAATGAACACGTTCAAGCATGGAAAAACCTATGGAGATCTGGTATTGATATTCAACCAATGGATGATCAACCATTCGTAATACCGAAAATTGTTTTGGATACAGATAACAATGGTGAAAATGATACAGTCATAACGATATTTTCACGGTCATTAGATATTGCGCAACATGTGAATAGTTCAATGTATTATTTATTATCTAGTTCACGTGATGATTGGCCGTAAGTATTTTTGTACGGCTCGATATTATAGTACAAAAAGAAAACAGGCGATTCTATTGAAATGACGAAAAATTATTTCAATCATTTATTGTAGTAGTATTTGTGACTCCAGCCATGTATATTTGAACATGCATTTTAAATTATATATTTTAGATATGGTATCAGTCCGGGAGGATTAGCATCACAATCTTACTCTGGTCTAATGTTTTTTGATATGGATTGGTAAATATTAACGTCATTTTATTATACGAAAAGTCGGAGAGTTTTCGATAGTTTTTTCTTGATACATGTGATTGAGCGAACTGAGAGTTTTCCAAGGCAGATACTGGAAAACCAAGATTTCCATGACTAGCATTGTTGAGATTCTACATGAAATCTTTTGAAAACAAGTCCATCGAATGGTGCATAGCTACATATTTACATCAAACGCGATCTTCTCCTGAGCTATGCACAGGCTATGTGCCCAAAAATAGAACGCAGCTAATTCATATGCATAAAAATAATAGAAAATAGCTTTCTAGATCACTTGACAGAATGTCAGTAAGTGTCTACTACTATCAATAATTACTTCAACTAGGAAAATCAATTCGTAGGATTACTCTAGACTTGACTATCCAAGGAGAGAATAGTCAAATATTCATTTTTTTTTATTAAGGTTTCTTTATTATCAACTTGTTTTCATTTATCTATCAAGGTATATGATGCCGGCTCTTCTACCATTTTATCCATCCCGTGCCGAAAGTCTACTGCGCTATCGATATAATAGTTTAGATGCATCGAATAACATTGCACTTCGCTTTGGCTACAATGGATCTATGTTTGCTTGGACTGCGTATGTATTTGATAAGAAAAATTGATTCGAAAATAACGATTTTTGTTTCAGAGCGTATTTAGGTCGAGCTGAAGTAAAAAAACAAACTGTAAATCAAATACAAAATTTTTATTTAAATAAATTTCACTTAGGGCTGTTGCGATGGAAAAGGTGGCTGGGAACTTTGTATTGAACAACATATAACTGGTGATGTAGCAGTGGCTGTACAAATGTATTATTATGCTACGAAAGATGATATTTGGTTAGAAAATATTGGCTGGCCTCTATTACGTGATATAGCAAAATTTTGGTCTAGTCGTGTAACAAAAACAAATAATGTGACATATTCAATTGAAAAAGTAATGCCTGTTGATGAATGGTGTGATAATGATCAAACGAAATGCGGTGATATTGGTATTGATAATGCCATACAAACAAATGCTGTTGCTATTGTATCATTACAATTAGCCAAACAGGTTGGAGATATGTTTGGATTTAGAGTCGATCCCGAATGGGAAATCATTGCTAAAAAAATTAAAATCAATTTTAATTCCACCACACAGACCCATATCCAATGGGATAATGGTAAAGAAAAAAGAGAGACGTGCTTCTTAATTTAGGAAAAAGCACACCATCTTTTTTTAGCTGTTTTACCACCAGCACCATCACATTATGTTTGTCCAGAAGGTAGAAAATTAGTTTGTAGATGTTTAATATTGATTTTTTTCTAATTTACTTCTAGATGTTCTATATTTAACTTATCCAATGAATTTCAATGTAACGCCTGCTATAATACGAAATGATGCTGAAACATTTATTCCAATAACATGCCAAGAAAATGCGGGTATGACCGCTCCTATTCATGCTATTGTATGGCTTATGTTAAATGAAACGTTGAAAGCCGAAGGCGAATTCAATCGATCTTTACAAGCATGTACATATGGAGAATTTCATGTTCGAAATGAGGTTTCGTATTTGATTTTATATGCACTCATGAGTACGGTTAAGCTTTTATTATAGGTCGATATTCATGCAAATATCATTGGTGGACATGGATTTAAGTATGAAACTATTGCCTTCTGTAGGAAAGATTCTTCGAGTTGATATGGCACAATCTTTCTTTTTTGTTGTAAAGAAAACATTGAGAGGATCGTACTTTTATCGGTGCCCTGATAGATAGTGAATATTTTCTTATATTGATCTATCTTATGAAACCGACAACTCGAAGAAGATAGGAAATATATTTCTCCTGAATAATAATTTTTATATGACTTTTCTTTAGTACTCATTTTCTTACGGGTGATGGCGGTTTTATTCAATCGGTCATGATGGGTTATGCTGGGCTTCGTTATGATGACAAGAGTCTTCTATTTAATCCGTTAGCAGGCTCCCTTACGCCGGCAACTAAAAGTATTCGATTACGAAATGTTCATGTTCGAGGAGCATATCCATTTGATTTTACAATCAATCAGAATTCAGCACAGTTTATTTGTTCGGATGTCTATGATAATATGTTGTGCATTACTGATAATCACAATATTCATTGGAACATAACAAGCAATCAATTAACATTATATTTTCAAGATATCCATTTTCCACTACGAGTTGATTTATGCATTTAACTTGGTGATATTTTATTGCAAAAAAGAAAGAAATAATAAAAAAAATTCTTTTTCTGTCTCTTAACCGGTTGTTATACAATCGAGAAAAAAGAGCCATGCTTATTTAAACAACATTATGAAAAAGAAATACTAAATTTTAATCATAGAATATAAAATGTCGCTTTCAAAAGATTTGTTCCCGTAATTGTATAAACGAATAATAATAATAAGAGATAATAAATAATGTGAAAAACAAAAAAAAAACAAAACAATATTTGTTAGTTTTCTGTTCAGGTTTCTTAATACTTTTTTTTAAATATCTGAATTGCAATGGAGATAGTTTGATCAACTTAGTAGCACTTCATTAGCTGTTGGAAGTCTTCCCATACATCGTCCTACACTCGGTAAAATTTCACCTTGAACAGGACCTGAAGAAAAAAAAATTATTTTGTGACAAAAAATATGTTCACATCTATTTACCATAAGGGACTTTTTCTCCGTCGACCATCATATTTCCACTAGTATCAGCTGGTACAATTCGAAATGCGCGTACTGGCAGCAATTCAACGAAATCAAAATCAACATGTTTTCCGTCGGATAATTTCGTGAATGTTTGCGCAAGATGTATACGCGATGAACGATCTGCACGTATATATTGTAAACTTAAATAGCCATCAGATAGTGTTGATCTGAATGAGGCTATGACATCTTTTGATATACACGCTTTTGATGTAATTAATACATGAAGAAATGGACCATTGATACGGCGCCATTTAGTCGATGTGGAATCAGTTGGAATAGGTTCATTGAGTGGTAATAGATGACGGTGTAGTTGAGCAATCGTGGTATCTGTTGTTATTTGATTTGAGTCTGCTGTATCATCAACCGCATCATATGGAATGTAATCAATATAACCTTCATAACTACGAGGTTCTAAATAATGCAATAGATCACTTTCTTTCTCCGGCTTTCCATACAGTGAGTTATGTAATTATACTTACTGATAATATGTTTTAGCGCTTCCACTGTAAATCGAGTTTCACCTAATAAGTAAAAGGAAATGGGCTCATGAAAAGATTCTGAAATTTCAGGATTGCTTTTTATTTTACCCAGAAAACGGTACTGTTCACTATCACAGTCAACATCAGCAACAACACCCCATTCAATACAGAGAAAAGAAAAAAGTCTTTGACCATCACAGATGTCTAATAGAGCCATATCAAATGGAAGTACGTTATGTGTCGCAATGATTACAGCAGCTTGGACAATAAATTTTTCCATCGTTTTCATAATCGGTTGTCTAGAGATAGATTGAATAGCTGATTAATTAATCGACTGTTTATATGAGAAAATAATGTATTAGAATCAAGTGTTTTACTTACTTGCTGTAACGTACAATGTTTGTAATGAAAGCATTGCCTGATCCACAAGGTAAATGTCCAATAGGTAATTTAATTGCTTCTTGCCAATCGTTTCTACTCATAAGTCCATTGACAACCTTTCATAGACAGAAAATGTTTAGAAAGAAAAAAGTTAACTTTAATAGCACGCTGAAAGTTATTTACTTCGTAGAGAAGTCCATCACCTGATGCTACAACAATACCAGCCCAATCAGCAAGTTGTATAGAGCGTACAAATTCACGAGCATGACCGGCGTATTCTATGATATCAAATTGAAAAACGAATTAAAATCGAACATTTGACTTATTTCACAATCATTAGTCAATAATACAGTAGTGTTGTACATAGTTATTTTCTCGGTTCAAAAAAGAAACACTGTTTGATAGTTTTCTAACCTTGCACTGTACAATGAGATTAACCTTCGTTTTCCTTTAAGAACATGAAATGTACGCATGTCCCTATCGTGTTCTATGATCTTCAGGTTTGCAAAAAGCTTCCACTTCGTCAGATGATCTCTATTCATAGCAGAATAAGTGTCTCAGCGTTGAATTCATTAAAGCAAATCTGAATCAGTAATAATTATATATTTATTTATTTTCAAACCTGTTACAATCATATGATAGGTAAATTCTGCTTCACTCCATACACCAACAACATATTCCATAACAAGACGATAAGCTTTACCAGCACCGCCAGCTGGATTAATAAAAACAAGGGCACGTTTATCACGTTTTGTTGTTACAATATCAACTATCATGTTCGATAAACAAGACAACCATATTCATGCATTCAACAAATAAAGTGCTTTTCAAAACTTACGAGGGAGATTTTGTTTTAAATAAATTGCACGCTTTAAGCTCTGATGCCATCGTGTTACTGCACCAAAATTACTTTCGAAATCATTAAATTTCGCGTATGTAAGCAATAGTTGTGAACGCTGTAAATTTGACTTTTTTGAAAATGGTAATGTAGCACCTGATGCCTTTTGTAGCGAATATAGGTAAAGATTTAAATGACATCGAATTGAATTCCTATTATCTTTCATACATAAACATCCATAGATATCTTCGATCGGTATCACTTGTGTATTATTCTTTATGGTTCTTGGTTGTTCTCTATTATCGTCAGTTTGTAACTGAATCACAAGAGCAGCTGTTGTGAGTTTAACAGTATATTGTTTCGATGACTGATCCCGAAGAGAAAACGTATCTTGCATGTCATCTGATGTTGTTGTTACGCCTTCGGTCATTTTTATTTCTAAAATAAGAAGATTTCAATGAAACAAAAAAAATTGTACGGACATAAAATTCATTTCTTGTTTTAGTAATTATACGATATATATATATATATGTGCTTTAAAAGTATACAATATACAAATAGCAAAACAAAAGCAAAAACATTGGGGTACATAGAATTTATCACACTGAATCATAAAAATAAAGCGTGCAATTAATAATCACTGTTGTTCGTTTTGAAATATAATTAACATTCTCTATTCAACCATACGTTGAAGTTCAGTTGTATAGACAGTAACACTTTCAGGATCGTATAAAACGAAACATACTTGTTGAAGACTTGTTGTCGTTGTTTGCCGAAAAAATTTCGATAGCGCAGCAAGAATTGTTTGTGCAGCCGTTTGCTTTGGAAAACCAGCACTAGAAAATAGAGAATACGATTCTTCTTATCTTTTGAACGATCTTAAAAATCCATGCATACCGTCCACTACTAATACTAGGCAAAGCAATGGACGTAAAGCCTTGCTGATCAGCTAAATTTAAAATATTTAAAATAGCTTGATCAAGTTCACCAATGCATGCATCTTGTGTTGCAGCATTCCAGTTTGGTGAGTGAACATGAATTAAATGTGATGCAGATAAATTCGGTGCAGCACTAACAGTAACTAGATACACAAAAACATACATATTTAAGAATTAAAAAAGAATGAATTGTTTCAATTTACCATCACCGGAATTTATTAATGTTGCATTTTTAGCTGCGTCAGCGACAGCATTTCGAAGTTCTTGTCCTCCTGTGCTAGCCAAAGCCTTGCCTAGAATCGAATTCATATTCAAAACAAAAACATATGTCTCTACATATACTAACCAACATCACCACCCATATAAAATGAAGCATTTGTTGGATGAACAATAGCATCGGCTTTAATATTAACAATACTTCCTTGTACAACAGTCAACTAAATGATTCATATCACATGTAATTGTTGTACTATTTTTCGTTTGATCATATTTACTTTTTGTCCACGAACAAGAACACGCTCAGAAAGTGTTGTTACTGCAGTACCTTTGAGCGCAGCGGCCTACATATCAAATGTGAATCAAATGAAGCAAGTTTGTGTACGCTTTAAAAACTAACCTTTGTTGTTGGTGTACCAGTTACACTAAAACTTCCTTGGCCTTTTTTAGCTAAGGTTGGCTTACGAATATTTATCTTGACATTAGTAGCAGTTGATGATGCAGTCTTCTTCTTCTTCTTCTTTTCTCGCGATATTGATGTGTTAGGCAGTGATGAATCATCTTGATTTTTATCAAGAAAAGCTAGATGAATATTTGGAAGAATTCCACCTTCAGGAACTACACAATGGCGCAGTAGCTAAAATGAATTATAAAATCTAAAACAGGTCAATTTTTTTTCGTTTTTACTTTAAATAATTCCCCATCATTGGCATAGGCAAGTAGAATATGTCTTGGTATAATACGACTACGCTGACAATCTCGTGCAGCATTACCACTTAATTCAAGGAGTTCAGCTATAGATAAAGATGTTCGTTAATAGATTTTTATGCTTGCTAGTGATATACATACCAACAAGATATTCAAGAACAGATGCTAAATAAACGGATGCACCTTGTGTTATGCGTTTCGGAGCAGTCGGACACGCTTTAAGATGACGATGAATACGTGCTACTGGGAAGATGATACCGGCACGAGCTGAACGTGATAACCTTGTCTTTTTCGGCGTTGAAGTCATCGTTATTTTTATAAAAATTGCAAAACTATCTTCTGTTTATCTTTTACTCTAATAAAGATATTCTCTCGTAAAACAATGTCAGAGGTGCTACTACTGCGGTTTTAATATGATTATTTTTTTCTCCTTGTTGATTGTTATTGCACAACATTGTCGCAACTCTTTCATTACGACTATTTATTTTTTACTTGCTGTTCTTTCCTATTGCAAATACCCTACACAGCGAATCGCAATGCACTTCTTTACTATTTTATATGACAAACATTTCTTTTTGACACGTGGAGGTCACTAGTCACTGGATATCTTTCGAGTAATAAGAAAATTTTTGTTCAAAACCAAAAATCAAATAGAGTTCTATATTTTCTTAGCTTCATGGTTCACTCTACGTAATCGCATCAAAATTAAATTAAAAAGATATACTAGCAATAAACTCAGTCTCTTCGATAATATGAGAAAGGAAATAAGTGACATGTGTGTGCCATACTCAGATAAAATTACAAGTTTCAAAATATACTTTTTCACTTTCTATATTTTATATTGCGAAACGTAAAAACACATACTTTTTCTTGCTTGTAGATAATATAACTTTTTCGATAATGCAGATTTTCATTCTGTCCATTGTTTTATTGTTTGCAGTACTATAATTAGGTCAAGGTGCTATTCCAGCATGTATTCAAGAGAAGATTGATTCTGTCTTAGCTGGGCCAGTTTGGAATCCACCTGCTACTATTACAAAATATTCTTATGATGATAAAACAACATATCTATTCAGTAGTAACTGCTGTGATCAATTCAATAGTCTTTACGATGAATCATGCAATCATATTTGCGCCCCATCAGGCGGATTTACAGGTCGAGGCGATGGACGATGCGTGAACTTTCAACGAGACGCAACATTTCTTGGAAAAGTCTGGGTAGATACACGATCGCGTGGAAAATAAATCTCATGGAATTTTTTTTTCAAAGAGATTCAAATACTCTAAAAATATTTATCAAGCATAATAAAAGAATGAAACGATAATATTCTATATTGAAAAACAATTCGACCAAATTATTCAACAAACTGAAACAATTATTTTTCACGGTAGGTATGTGAGCGATAGCCCCGTGAGCATCCAAGTATTCTCGCATGATTGAGACGAATTTATTTTGTATATGAAAAATAGATTGATGAAAATAATACTCATTCCTATGAAATATTACAACGAGTGGAACTACAAAAAAAAGAACATCATAAATAATAGTGGGATTTTTGTTTTTCTGTTGAACTCTGTACTATTTGATTTTCAATATAAGGTTATTTTTAGTACATAATCTAATAAAAATAAAATCAATTTTTTTCTCTGTCAATACAAAAAGTCGCTTAAAGGCTAAAAATAGTGCAATGTTTTTAAATTTATATAGCCGAAAGGTCCAATAGCCTTCATTGTTTACTTTGAATTAACACATTAATTGAATAATGTGTTACAAACAAGAATCCCTTCGTTTTTTTTTTTCATCTATATTTCCTATCAATCAAACATCAACTATCATAATTTTGATATTTATTTTTTGATGCTCCATTCTACACAATTATGTTTCTACCGTGTTGACTAAATAGAATGAGAGATTATAATAAAGATAAGAAGAAGAAAAAACATGGAAGAAGAGAGAAGCATGCGATATTTGTTTCACGCACCATCGAAAACTGTTCTATAAAAAGAACATATAAGAACATGAAAATGAAAAAAGGTCAATGAATGAGTAGTAATTTGACTGATTCAAACCTGATTGGAACCATCGACAAACTCATTTAAGCAAATCACAGTAGATAAAAACCGAATAATGACGAAGAAAACAAAACACACAAGAGAAAGCAAAGGCACCTGTTGTCAATATGAAACATAAGATAGAGTAATAAACAAAACGATGGAAGAAATGTATCGCTTCTACTACCTAATTTATTGTCAACAAACGCATCGAGAATCAATCTGAACAAAATAAACGGCATACTGAAATTGTTGTGTTTCGATTAGTTCACTATAGAATTGTCATTTGATTTTCTATTTATAGCAAAGATATTTTTTATTTCATTTTGAAAATTTCAAGTTTATAAAGTTCGTTCTCATTGAAGAGCAAACAGTGATGAGGAATAAATAGAAATTGTCACGACTTTTTCATTGAAAAGTTCGAACGGAAAATTTTAAAAAAAGAACTGTTATAAATAGATCGATTCATCAAAGGTTAATCCCATTGAATAAAGTTTCGTTTCAATGATGCATGAATACGCGTAGCAAATAGTTGAAATTTTTGGCTTTATAGAAATAAAACTTTCAAATGGAATTTAATCATCAATGGATATGAATATAAGAAATCGAATGACAATTTCAAATGAAATAATCGAAAACTTTTAAGTTTGCCTTTTGACAACAACAGTAAATACAAATTGAAAAGAAAAAAAATTGAAAGACAAGTTTTCGTTTCTTCGCCATCACCAGATTTACAGTAAGTCCTAATTTATATACATTTGAAGTTAGAAGTGTGGGCTTTGCCAAAATGAAAAATGCAATATTCAAAGTATGTCGTTTTTGCTTGTTTACATGGAAAAAAACTAAATACATAGATAGTAAATTAAACAGTATAGAAACAAAAAAGTATATATCAACAGTATTTCAAATCTTTTGCTATCTCTCTTCATAATAGTATGTTTTAGACTAGCAAAGAGTTCTATGTATGATCTCGAAATATTGGAACGTTTTAACTTACTTTTGATTATGAAAATCGTTTTAAGTAATTCGTTTTCGTTTATTTGACTTTCGATTGATCGGTTTTTTAGCACGCGTTTTTGTTGATTCTAAAGAAATATTCCATTGATTGTTCAATATTTTTACAGTGAAATATAATACTACCGGAGTTTTCTTGTTCGGGTGGTTTTGGTGGTTCTAATTTATAGCCAACAAGTTCACACCAGCCAATCGGATAGATATTTGGCGATTGGCAGTCAATCCATTGTTCAAAATCTTCACCCCAACCATCGAAACGAACACGAATAAGGCTATCAGCAAGTTCTGCAATAGTAGCTACACATACTAAATGTGGTGCCATCATGTCAACGGCTTCAATTTTCATGCCAACGGAAAATGGATTTATTATTTTTTTCTTAGAAATTAAGAAAAAACAAAATTATAGATTTATCAATCTCCGAGAATAATTTCGTTTGATTTACTTTTATGATTTGAAAAAGATCTTTTGGTGCATAAACGGAATTAGTTTCAAGTAAATATTTATCCCATTGAAAATCGCCGTGATAACCTAAAAATCATTCAGAATAAAAAAAAACTAACGTAAGAAGCACCGAAAAAATCTACCGATTGGAGGTGATAATGGAATTTTATTAATCTTGCAAAAATTTATTGGAAATATAAGACGTGAACTCGAATGATAACAAAACCAATCAGAACCATCTTCAACACTCGATCCATCAATGGATAACATAAAATAACCATCTTTGAGTACCTTTGAAAACAATAAAGATAGTTGATGTCGATTATCAAGAGCATTCTTGATGACATGAATAAACCAATGCTTCGTTCAACATATCCATAATTCCCTGAGGATCATTATTATATAGATTGTTTTTTTTTCTTCTTCTAAAGAACGTGTCAAGTTATTCTGTCCTTCGATTTCATACAGAGATTAAAAAAACTGATCATCCATGCATAGACACTTTCTTATTGTTAAAATTTCGACAAGAATGATAACTTATTTCGCTTGAGGGAGACTGAAATCATCGAACTAGATAATATCATGACTTACTTTCCCAATCGTTGCTGGACAAATACGAGACATTTCTAATGGGTCAACTGCTTCTAATTTTTGTCCTTCCTTAAATTGTTCATCGATTTTTGATATTTTTTCAACCTAAGTCAAGAAATTTGTTTTAATCATTTTTATTAAGCTCAAAGATAAAGATTTATGCGTTGTATTACTTTACAAAAATAATCTGCTGTTGGAATAGTTGCTGGATATAAATTTATTTCAAGCATTTTTGCTACTTCACTTCTATATTCTAAATAATGTCATAAATTATTTTTTTATTAAAAATTACCAAAACAAATGTATCTTTTACCTTCTGTAGCTTCTAATTCATGTCCGATTTCATGTGACCAACCAACTGGATGAATTAATTCGGATGTATGATGCACCCAAAAATGTTCGCCTGCAGTCTATACATAAACAAATACTTCAAATCCATGAAGAAAATTTGACAGTTACATTTTACTTACATTTTCATAATTTATTCTTAATCGACCACCGATCTAAATATATTCAATAACTATAAATCGATTCAATATTTAATCTCCTACCACTTCAGATATTTTTCCTACACGCATATTTGACACACGATATTTATCAATAACTTCAACGATCATATTCTTTTTAAATGAACAACGAAGTGATGATTGCATCTAATTTATACAACGATAGAATTGTTTCTTAATATTTATTTGAATTAAATTCTTTCTTACTTTGTAACGGAAATTATCTGGTAAAGTTTTTGATCCAACGAGTTTGTTGATTAGAAATGCTTTCCAATCAGTTTGTCGATGTTCAATGCCTAAGCAGAGAAAGAAAGAAAACAGAATATTAAGAAAACACCAGCATGAAATTTATTTTCTTTACTTCTTGGAGGTGCTAATTTCACAGCATTTTGTCCACACCAGCCAACACAATGAACGTCTTTACTGCATAGATTACACCAAAAATCCATTGATGAATCTTCTTCGGAACCTTCATAACGGACTAATGCTAAATAACCTTCCACTCGAACGATATATGCAAACCAAAAAACGTTCTCTTTTGTATCATTCGAATTACTGCCACAATCTGTATTTATTACTTCAAGTTTCATTCCAGGCGTTAATTGTGACCACATATCATATAGTGGCGCCTAAAATGTAAGTGAACAAGCAAAATTTTGTACATGCGATGAAATACAAAACAAAAAACAGATTTAAAACTTTACATGGCAAAAATAACTGATTGGTGCAGCATGTGAATCAGTTGTTTTTAAATAATTACCCCAATTAAAAGTTGTTGTATCCGCTATCAAAAAAAAACAAGAAATAAAAATAAAAATAATAGAAACTATGAGAATATATACGTAATGCTGCTGAAACAGTGTGCCCATTGGTATGAGATGAATTGATATTGTTAGGTATTACAAATGGAATAGATCCTGTTTCATCAGGAGTTGTCAACATTGAGGGTGAGTGTTAATAATACAAAAGTATAAGTAAATCTACAAAACCAAAGAATATATTTCTTCGTTCAAACCACATCTTTCGCTTGTAAACAGGCAGCTATCAAATTTTTCAAGCATATAAATTCACACGAGACAAGTTATTAAAATGAAACAGCCAAAAGAAACATCAGAGAATTAACGAACGTAAATGAAAAACATACGTATAATTAATTTGATGTTTGATGACTCAGTCATCATCGTTTATTGAATGGAAAAACTGTGTTATTCAATCAAATTAATATTAAAATGATTTTTAAATTTTGTGAAGTTTTATTATTATTATTAGTTTTTGTTTATCAAAGATTAAAATAAAAGTTATAAGAATGAAAATTTTATCAACAACAAGCGACATCTCTCACAAAACGCTATACTGTATATCTTGAGGGTGTGGATGTAGAATGTGAGTGATAGGGTCAAGTTATGCAAATTCGTTAGTGTAGTATCCAAGAAGCCCATATCAACACCCATTTTCATCGAGTCCTATTTCACCCTATAAATTGATAAACAAAATATCGAATAAAATATGAATCATTGAGGATTAAACGGGATATAAGAACTGTGGTCAACAGTAATTCTTAAATCTATTTATGTTGCTTATTCATTTATACGGATCTTTTGTAAGAATAAAAATAAAACGTAGCAAAAACTATTCATCTCTTCAAAACAGAAGTCAAATTTGAGAGAGCCCTTTCCGATTGATCATGTAAATCTTCTTTCGGTGATTGTAATCAGAAATAAGTCTCACGTTACTAGTTTGTACAATAGTTGACTTTGCTGTTTAATCTTAATGCTTGCAGTTCTGTTTTGTTTCTGTTAGCAACATGTGCGAAATGAAAATTTGACATTCATTACAGCGTGCCCAAAACAAGGTGACCGCCCACTTCGTCGTAATGAAAATTCGCTGCTATAAGTTAGTCGTACGTAAATAAAGGAGGTGACATATCAAGGGTGAAACGGCTGACTTGAAGTAGAGAAGCACGCCAGAGTACCTCAAAGTAGACTACTTGAAGTAGCTCAAAGTAACTTCAAGTCCAAAAGTCCGCCGTTTCCTCCTTGCGATATATACATTAATTGAAATAAGTGATTTTATTTCGTATGTTATTCAATTAATCGCGTAAATGTACAGTATTATGAAATAATAATTAGATCAATATGACGGATAATAGATTCGTTTTAGAGAAAAAACGTTTATTTCTGTAAAAAAAAAGTACTTTTGTTACATTGAAAATAGTCTGCTCTAAATAAAACTCAATTCAAGTCCCTTAAGGAGACGACTGCTTAGGAAATCTTGAGCTAAGAAAACCAAGAAGATATAAAAGTAAAATGTGCTCTTTCTTGAGGTGCATAATTCATTCAGTACTTTCCAGGGCAATTTCCTGTGATTTGCATAGTTACTCGATTATTGGATAAAGTGATTTTGGAAATGGATTTTTAGATTTCCGATACTGCGAACATTAAAAATATCTAATGTCAATAAATGTTTATAAAACTGCAGTATTCTTTCGATAGCATTTTTTTGGAGGTGACATATTTTAATTTTAAAAAATTCAGTTTAAAAAGAATATTGTTTTACACGCATATAGCTTCATTTAAAGTACATCTTCATTCCAAAAAATTAAAGTTATTTTAAATTGAACTTTGTAGAATTTAATTCTAATTTTTGGGTACTTTAAAATCTAAAATAAATAAAACTGTAAATTGACACTTCTATCATTTGTTAAAAACAAAGCTGGATTTTTAAGAAAGAGTCTTAATATTGTAAAGGAATACATTTATTAAGGTGATGAATTAAATAGCATACATTGAACTAAATCACTTAATTCAATTAATTTACTCCCAGTTATATGTAAACGAACTGATCACAACGAAGTGATCCTGCGACGATATGTACTAGAACCCATAGCACGATAATTTACTCTCAGCTACTTTAGTGCCCCGAAAGAATATATATCTCACATTCGAGTCGGCAAAATTGAAAAATTGTTTTGTTTTATTCAGAAATTATTGTTTGTAATCGTTTTCATTGAGAAATCATAATATCTGCGCCATATTAACTTAAATACTCACAAAATCTGATTAAAAAACTGACATGCCTTCACCAGTTTTAATTGCTTTTCGTCGAACAGCAGCTGAAATAATGCACCATATAACAAAATAAAGTGAGTTTGATATATTGTACATAGCTTCTTTTTCTAAATGCCATCGAAACAAGTACACCATATACTGATTTGATTTTCGTATAGTTGCTTATTACAGCAATAGCAATGAGTTCTTTATCAATCTTAGGAAAATGTAGCTCTTAGAAACCCCGAAAGAATTCATCATTCTTCTTCTTTTTTTTTTTGATAAGACAGACACTCAACAACAGTTAATATAAAAAACAGTGGATAACTCTTCATCTTCCTAACCCTAATGATAATTTCTCTTGAACATCATAACGAGCTCTATATCTTGAACACTACTATTTAAATTTGATTTCAATCAAAATCTCGCATGACTTACGTTAAGATAGTTACATAAGAAAATTTATTTTTGTAATCTTTCTCAATATCTTTTTATTTTAATTTTTCAAGATCTGCGTTTGATTTCACCGAGGTACTCGCTTTGCCACACACATGTATAGGCATCACTGCGGCATTCAATTGATAGAAATAGTCCAGTCCATTATAACTACACTGTTTGATAAAGAGTCTGAATGGTATCGATTTCAAAACTGGAGAGGCCTTCACTTTTTTGAAATCATATTACTATTTTCGATGTGATTTCTTGTTTCATCAGCTAAACTATAGAAATATAAACGAGTAGGAATTTTATTTATAAAATACAAATAAAATGAGCAGAAATCACCTGTGAGATATAGAGTTCTCGAAAGTATTTAGTAAGAAACATCGAAGATACCATGCAAAGACAACATTTAGAATCGAGTGATCAGGATCTCGATTGTTAATCCCACTATAATACGATGCACAATATTTTAAAAGTTATTTTAGTCATGATATTTATTGCCTTCGATTTCGTTTTTGACTGTCATAACAGCATCTTGAATTGAAACAAATATAATGTTTTCGTCAGTCTTTTCATAAAATTCCATTTCATCAAGAATGCAACGAACATCATCTTCAACAGATAGATAAAAATATAAGTAAGTAAGTGGTGATCAGGGTTATTTTTTTTGTTTTCACGAACAGTTCAAAGTAGTATATCAGAAAGATCCGCACGACTAGATCATATGTGCTTTTTTCAATCATCATTTTTATGAATAATACATATATGTCAAACTTGAAAGTTGAATTCAATTGAAAATTGAAAATTTCAAGTTTCAAGTTTGACACTACTGGAATAATAAGACTAGAATTTGTAGGATAAACCAATCTTCTGAACTCTGCTTATTGTTCAATTGGTTTTCTATCAAGTAAAATGTTTTGAATTTACTCATTAACCGAAGAGTTCTTCTAAACGGATTCCAATAGATATGGCAGAGTTTTGAGTTTTTTTTCAAACGGATGAAAACAATTTTCGAGAAAAAAATTTATGTATCTAAGAAAAATCATGAAGATTTACTTGGCAAGTGCTTTGCTGCGAGTCACGGGATATTTAAGATGCCGAACAAAATCTACATTAATCGTGACTATATAGACATGTTCTTCAACTACTCAAGAACGATTTTTCTCATATGAAAATCATCAACCAAAAGATAAAAATATTAATCATCAAGTGTTTAATCTTAAGCATTCTAATATCGACTTCACCGTTTATTCTCAAACTATCCTCGTCAATCAACATTATTAGTATTGCTTGCGCTATATGAACTAGATCATCACTTGATCTTTCATCTATATTATCGTTAAACGCTACCGTATCGATAAATTTCTCAGTCTATGTGGTGCTGTTATAATTGTAGACGATAAAAGTCCAGTTATCTTCCTGCTCTATGCTCTTATAGTAATCCAGTTGAAAATAAAATCAATATGTATCGACATTCTTTATCAATTCGGTATTCGATTTTTAAAAAAGCTACTTTTATTTTCGATGTTCATTGCAATTGCTGAACGACAATTAAGACATTTCAAACTGCGCTAACAAGCTCTCAAGAATCATAAAATCCTCTGTTCACAAAAACGGCGTCATAAATGGTCTTGAACACCATAATATCGCATGACGGTGAAACAAGGTGACAATTCATTCAGTAGTTCAACGTTTGGTATCTGTTTTACAGCGGATAAGATGCTATTTCCGGTGGTCGGAATGATCAACCTGAGAAATAATTACGCGAAAACTATCAAACCTGTTAATATGATTCGATCAATGTCTTCTGTCATGTGTTTTAACCTGATATCTAGAATGATTATTTCATTCTATTTTCTCTTCATTTAAGTTCACTTCGCGTGTAATTCTTATTGTAATTTGAAGTTTTTAATACGATGTAGAAAAATACTTGTTACAAGATAGAAATATTTCCCTTCAACCATAATTATCATTACTTAATATAGGACATGACTCGCTCCACTCTATGAGAAATCGATGTTCAAATAATGGCGCTTACATATCTGCTTTAACTTTTAAAGTAACATTTTAAGTTAAATTCTTGAAGTACAACTTAAGTATCATGCCTCAGTCTGAGTTGATCTATTAATCAAACAAATAGTTATCGTTCAAAACATACTCCCTGCAGTAATTCGAATTACAAAAAGCTCAACATTATAAATATTTTCTATAAAATATAATAATCAAATTTTCAAACAAGAAAAACCCAGTTATTTATGTGATAGATTTCTCTTTCCGAACAATTTTTTTCGCCATGAAGAGAACTCGAAATAAACTTCAATCAATGATCAAAACAAAATGCATCATTCTTGAGAAAATTTATTCTTCTCTATTTTCTGTTAATAAAATGCCCAATGGAAAATCTGGCTGAATTATGATATTTATTTTAAATTATAAAAAAATAGCTTCAATTTAAATATAATACTAGAAAATTTTATAACGCGGAATTAAAAAAACATATTTTGATTCTCTTGTCGAATGCAATCATTCAAAGAAAGAAGTATTCATTATTAAAAATATCGTGATTTGATCATCATTGCAGTATAGCCAACTAAAACGACGGAAATAGTTTTTAAAATAAATTTAACTGTTGACGCTTTTGGTAATAACATTTCAATTTTAGATGGCCCATACATAAGTCTTTTAGTATTGGGCGATCGACATTCTTCTCTATCATCAACCGGTTCTTCTTGTATCCATTCTAATTTAAAATTTTCATCATTCTTTTTCAAATATTTAGTAATAACGTCATATGCTGCCTTTTCGCCTGATTGTACTGCACCATCCATATAACCAGCAAATCGAGTTGCTAATTCAGTACCAGCAAACATCAATTGACCATTGTCTCCACATGGCGTATGCAGTTGTTCACGTAACGATGATAGCAATTCTTTTGGCATTATATCTGTATAACAACCGCCGCTAAATTTTTCAGCAGACCAATCTTGTTCGATATAATCGCGACAACCCGTTAACATATCATTACATTGAAATGCTCTGGCATATTGTTCACAAACAGCTTGTCGACGTTCATCTCGTGTTTTTTTAGCCCATTCACGGCTTGAATCAGCAACAATAAAACCCATGATGGCATAAAATTTATCTTCATCACATGAATCATCAAAAGTATAAATAACCGGATTTAATGATACTCTCGACGTATCCAATATGATACCACTAAAACCATTCTCTTTCCAATAGGGTCGTTCAAATACTGTAATCGTTTTTATAATTGAACCCATATACATTCGTTCAGTTGCTTCGCGCTTTTTTGGTGGTAATTCAGGTTCGAATTGTATTGTTTTATAAAGAGATGGTGCGAGAGCAATAATTACATGGCGACATGTAAATGTTTTATTATTATCACATGTAACTTTAACTAAATTTTCTGTCGACGACCAATCTATATATTTAACAGTATGATTAAATAAAACTCGATTATCACCAAGTTTCTCAGCTAATCGATTCGATATTTGCTGAGATCCACCACGAAACTTTCTTTCTTGAGCACCATCATCAACTTCGCATAGACGCATAACTCCCAAGCCATTGTTAACATATGAAATCCAAGCAAGCATGGATACTTCATTTGGTTCAACGCAAAGTATTGTCCGAGCAACGGCTCGATAAAGTTGTTTCGCTTGATCAGTTTCACCTAATGTTTCGATCCAATCATCGATTGTCATTCGATCGTATTTTGAAGCTAAATCTTCATTTGACCACGGTTCTAAATTCGATAATTGCTCGCATAATTCCTGTGTCCGACATAATAAATAATTAACATCAAGTAATGAGAAAATGCCAATGGAAGTTGGTATAAGACCTGTATATTCGGATCGATTTCCATTCGCAAGTGTTAAAATAGTTTTTCCTTTATTATAAACACGATAGGTACGAATGTCAAATTCACGAGCTAATCGAAGAATACGATTTTGAAATGGACCAACATAAGCACCTCCAATGTCCACTGCATGTTTTTGATACTCAATAGTACATGTTCGACCTCCTACACGATCTCGAGCTTCAAGAATAAGAAAATTATCTATGTTATGTTCTAATAAATAGTTTCCAGCTGATAGACCGGATAGGCCACCACCAATAATTAATACATCAAGAAGGTCAGACGACATCTTAAAAACAAAATGATTTATAAAGCTTATTTAATTTAGCTCTAGGCTTTCTTTGCTTTTGTTTATTAACACACACGCACACAGACATGAAAGAAATATATTTATATATTTATAAACAAAATAAAATTTTTTAGAGTTCATCTTCCGATAATTGCAGTGCAGCTGCATCAGCAGTTGATGTTGTTGATGTATGAGATGTTTTCAATCGTTTTTTTGAATGTTTATGATGACGATTTTTCGATGATGATAGTTCATTTGTTGCTGAACTTGCTTCATTTGATATATCTTGGTGAATTGCAGTTGAAAACATAGATGATGATTGTCGAGTGTCATTGTCGTCATCGGATGAATCTGATTCACTGATATTACCTATTTATATTTAACAGATCACAAAACTTCTGTTTTTTACGAATATAAATAATTTGATATTACCTAAAATATCTTCTGTTGTAATTTTTTCATATTGTTCATCGTTATCATCTTCGTTTTGTCCGGCTGCTGCCATAGCTTGCATTTGCTGTTCTATGGCTGCTAAATCACGTGAAATGAACGTTTCAAGTGACATACCAGGTGATGTTGGACTTTTCAATTCATTGTTATCGTCTTGTTCTAAAATTTAGAGTAAAAATTGTTTGACAATTATATTAAGCACACATATAATTATTATTTGCTGATGATATTTATTTCTGGATAGTCAACTTTTCTAAAGTCAATACTTATCTATTACTTCTGTAATAAATTAGTCGAGATATCTTTAACAAAAGTAATGCTAGACATCATTGTTTAAAGGAAATATCAATTGAAAAACAATCAGTAAATATATAATCTATATATATATATATACATATATTTGATCAAAATTTTTCCGAAGAAATCTCTGCATAATGACAAAAGAAGTGTCCCCACAGATTCTAATTTTTAACGTAGTGTCTTTCATAAAGCTTTGGAATTATTTCTTGTACTACTTTCTAATTAAGATTCAGACGAAAAAAGTTGAATATTTCACAGCGATATATTGAATAATAAATCATTACAGATAAAAGTATCATTTTGTAAAAAAATCAAAGAGACGGGTTCCATGATACTCATTGGCATATAGATTTTCATAGTTACGCCTCTACATTAAGAAAGATTGATTCTATTGAGAAAAGACTTTGCAAGCATAGTTTACTATGATAGTCGCCATTGTTCACGTTTACGGAAGTCTAAGGCGTCATAGTATTGAGCAAATTATTACGATATGATTCAGATATTAGTATCACTCAAAATGCAAGTGCAGTAAAAAATAAGCCAAAAAGCTTATTCATCCGAAATGACCTATAAGAGTATGTATAACGTTACGAAGAAATTAAGTTTCTTACCTTCTACTAATGGATTAAACGAAAATGGATTCGTAGATTCAGTTGTAATTATCTGTTGCCATTCATCATCATCATTCATTTGTTGGTCTATATTTTGCATTAAACCTAATGCTTGTCGTTCAAGATTGTGTTCAAGTGCAGTGAACTGTTCAGTGTGTTCGTCAAATTGTTCTTTACATGTTTGAACTATTTTTGATCCTGTTGCTGTTATGGAATGGGATTCACCATTGTATTGAACACTATTTGTATAAAGTAAATTAACATCGGCTAGCATTGCTGCACGTGAACGATATGTATGTTTGAGAATATTCTAAACAAAATTAATTCAAGAGAATTTTCTTATGAAAAACAAAATTCAGTTTTGGAAATTTTACATTTTTTATTTTTTCTAAATCCATTGGCGTTTTAACAATATCATAATAATCTTTAAAACGAACTTTATTAACAGCATGATGAAATGGCCAAGAATTTTCAACATTCATTAAATGTTCACTTAATATACGTTCAAATAAATATGATATAGCAACAAGAAGATCATCATCTAATAATGGATTTATTGCTTTTTCTAATTTCATTAATTTGTCTTCATTCTAGAAACGAATAAATAAAAAAATAAATGAGAATTTTCAAATTGTTTATTTAATTTACAGCAGCAAATTTTTGAAAACAAGCAGCAAATATTGTTTGAGCATCACGAGTTATTTGATCGTATTCGCCATTAAATTGACGACTATTGTCAACTAATTGCCGTATATCATTTAGAAATCCTTCACGATTTTCATAGGTATGAGCAAGAACTCGTTGACGAATTTTTTGTAAATCCATCGGATTTTTTATTATTTCATAATAAGCAGGATATGATCGTGAGTTAACTGGCGATAAAAACATGGTTGCCTAAACGAGATTTAAGTTATAAGAAGAAAAATAATAGATTAGACGTCTCTTAGAAATCAGTGTAAGTTGGAACTGAATATAATAAATTTTTACAAAGCTTTAAATTAAAGTTTACAAAGATCTATGTCGTTTTTTGATTTCTGCATAAACTCATTGCAAAATTGTCTATCTTAAAATATTCGAATCAGATCGAAAAATGATTTATCTCGTCTTAAGATTTTTTGTAGAACACTTTTTTTCTCAGCATAAAATTTCTTCATTCTGATGTACACTATCTCAGCCAATCCTTACCTCCGGCATATCTCGAAGTTCATTAAGAATGCTTTCGAGTAAACTAGCAAAGCTAACAAGTGGATCAATCCGTCTTCGTTGTACAGTCCTTGCACGTTTATCCAAATAGTCTGCACCGGACGACGATGGTGTTGGTGTTGTTGGTGTATTTGGTGGAAATGAAAACATTGTGCCTAATGGACCATTTGACAATGGCGTTGATGTTGGTTGCTGGCGATTTGCATTAGCCGATGTTGGACCAACACAACTTTGACTATGTTTAATTTGCTGTCCACCATTTGTTGGCGTTGTTGAACTCTTACGTCTACTACCCGCATGCGATAAAGTTGTTTTGAGAGTACCGCTCGACTTAGGTGTGTAAGTTAAATTGGCTGATGCTGTTGATGGTTCAGATTTTATTGGAGGTATAAATGACATTTTTGATACATGAACAATAGGCGGTGGAGTTAGTGGCCGTTCATTATTCATACTAGAATTCATTCCCATCGGTTGGCTATTCGTTGTAGACTCATCGGCATCACCCATGGATTCAATTCCACCAGTAGATAGTGATACTTTGAGTGCTTTCGGTTTTTTCGATTTTCTTGAATTTTCTTTCGATGAAACTCTAAACAATAAATATGTTTTCATTTTTATTCAATAAAACGTCACAAATCTATGAACTTACTTGTCCAGTACACTTTTAGCAAATATTAATTTCGTTCCACCTGGTTCAACCATTTTAACTGAAACGTCTCCTACATTCATTGACATATTTGTATCCATTTGTTGTAAATCAAAACTATGTTGTGCATCTTCACTATCAACAGTAATATTTGTTTGTGAATTTCCGCTAGCTGTTTTGCCATACATTGGACAAACTCGATTTGTTCTCATATGACCTTGAGCACCACAAGCACCACATTTGAGCTAGAAAATAAAATTCATACGAATGCGACCCATTTATTTCATTTCATTTTACTTACTGATTTAAGATCTTTTTCAGATTTTTTCCGTCGTTTGCTTGTTGTTGATGCATCACTACTCGTCGTTGGTAATGTTATTGGACTAATCATTTCGTGAGTTTCTTGTCCTTCGTGACCAAATGATCCTGTATTGAAATAATTGGCAAATTCCGAATGACTATTACTATTTATATTATCTATTGACGTTGACATTAATTGACTGGTTGATGGTATATTATGATGATTGTCCATAAAGAGATCATGGTGATTCTCATCCAGTGTGTTCGTATCATTTTTCATAAATAAATCATGATCATTTGGTAATTTTAATGATGGTATATCACTATTATTTACACGTAAAAATAGATTATTGCGCACTGGCGATGGATTTGAAGAACGCGATGATGGAGAATGTGGATCAAAATTTGTATTATTTCCTGATGTTGTATTACGTTGTTGTAAACGATCCTGTCGGCGAACACGACGTAATTGTTCTTGTAATCGACGACGTTCACGCCGTAGATTTTCACGTTGATCTTCGTCAAGTGTAAAAAATTGACGACTAAAAACCGATATGCAGATGAAACGCATTACACAAGAAGAAAACACGACTTACATGAAATCATTATCTTTTGTTGTACGAATTTTTGAATAAGCTTCAACAACCATCGGTTTACGTACATATTCAACTCGTTGATATTCACGTCCATCATCATCGGCATATGTACGTACGATTTTAAGTACACGTGAACCCTATGATTTTATATCAATGAAACAAGAAATTAGTTAAAATTAAAATAATTTAAAAAAGTTTCTAGAACACTTTTAACAATATCAAAGATATTTATGCATATTAAATAGTGACGAATTTTTTTATATTTAGACGTAACAGGAAAATGATGCTTACTATTGCGCAGTGAGAAGTTTCTGTGCTTACGATCCTAAATCATATCGTACATTATATTTAGAGTTTATATGAGCGTATAGAACTCCTAGTCAAGTAATCTGATCAAATATATATATATATATACATATGTATATCAACAAGAAATCCAAAGTCTATTTTGAAGAATTTACTAGAACTGTGAGCAGACATCGGAAGAGGTATCCATCTTTATATAAAATAGCTAAGAACGTTGCGACCGATGAGAGTGTGGGTCTATCAAGTACACTAATTGGCACTCACGCCCAATAAGAATGACTACCTATTTGAGTCTGTCAATCTCCAACTTTTTGATAAAAACAAAATTGATGTTAATAGAATTTTCTCTAGGTTCATTTTTGGTAGAAAAATACCCATGACTGTATTTTTCGTTTTGAAATACGTACCGTTTTCTTCACCGTATCTGAAGTATCAAGATGAGGTTTTGTTTCATGCGTTTTTTTTGAATCCGATGGCGCTAACATTGATTCAAGATTTTTTCTCATTTCATCAACATCAGAATCTTCTTCGCCACTCGTTTCATTATCAGTTGATGTTAAATGATTAGTTGACAACGATTTATTTTGTACTTCGAAGATTTTTCGACAATCTTCCTTGTATTTTTCTTGATATTCCATTTGACTGTAACGATTTCCACGAGCAAATTTAGCCATTGCAGCTAAGAAAAAGAATAATTTTAGTTTGATTCCATATGAGAAAAAAATGAAAATTTATCTTTATACATACCACCGTCTTCTCCATCACGAGCACGTGCTGTGGACATTGTTCGAACAATATCAATAATTTGCCATCGTGAAAGATTTCGAACATGACTATCGGAGACACCAAATTTATTCAGAATCTTCTTTGCCTCTTTCAAATGAAGACGACGTAAATCAGCATCGGTTCCTGTAACCATTTTTTTCGTTTGTATTGTTTCCGGTTCTGCTTCCTAATGTATAAGAAAAACAAATCGATTTTGTTTTGAACAAAACTAACAGATAACCAACCCGAGCATTTGGTTTATTCGAAACTCGAACATACGAAAAACCTTCGCCACAACCAGTTGGGTCAGAAAAACCACGTAATTGAAGCCAACATTTGCCTTTGAGTGAATCAAGATATGCTTTTGTCGTATGCCATGGAGCACATTTAACCTTAAGAAAAATTGAATTTTGATTAAGAAAAAGCATTTTCAAATAAAATCACTACACATACTTCATCTTCAATTTTACTGGTATCATTTTCATCAGCAGCTTCATCGTCAACAGCAGCAAATAAAACTTTTTCACCGTAACCAGCATCTGAAAAAGAAAGTATCTTGATTCAAACTGATAAATACAGGTGAAAATATCAAATAGTTCAATTCCTCAGCAATTTTCCGAGTAGTGTAACATATCCGAAATTTTGAAGATGAGGTCGTCTCCCAATGGAGATGCACCCACATGCTGAGAGATGCCCATCCCCCGCAAAAAATCCAGTGTCTCCCATGGGAGATACCGCGGTATCTCCAAAATTTCGGATATGTGACACTGCTGAAGTAAGTGAATGATTTTTCAGAGAAATAAATCTCTAAATACATTTAGTTTCATACATTCAATATACAATCTTACATATCAATTATCCGATTATGATGTCTTCTTCGAAACCAATAGCTAAACATTGTTTCTTACCTTTCAGCCTTTGTTCAGCAGCTTGCATACTATAATAAGCACAACATTGTTCGGGTGTAACCAATTGTCGAATTTCTTCTTGACTTGGTAAACGAAAATCACTTCGTAAAACCCACCAATTACAATGGACACCTTTTAATTCAGACAATCAATTATTATTCGAAGTTTGTTTACAAAACGAAATAACTAACCTCCAGTACGTTTGAAATCTGAGCTCATTTTTAAACGTTTTCTAATACTATTTTCTGCATTTTGTGGAAAAGCTTTTCGTACATCTTCCATTTTTATTCTTGGTGGTTTATCACGACTTTTCCAGAACAATCGAAATATATATGCTTGAAGAAAGTCTCGTGCAAATATATTTGCACGTTTAGAATTTGGTCCCGGAACTTCTTGTAATGGACATTCTTGACCAATTGTAAAAATATTTTTTACATTACGTATATGATAATTAGATTTGGTACGAAGTATAAGGAAATCCGTAAGAAGTAATTGATGATGAAATATTGGCGCACGAAACATATGATTTTCAAAAGCCTATTATTTGTATGAAAAACTTATTTTGAATATAAACATAAAAACTTCTTTTTACTTGTAGAATTTCTCCAGGAAGCATATCAGCTTGAAATGGTGATGTATGAGCATATGAAATTTCACCATATTCTAACATGGGCGGATTGTCTTGTTTACCAGGTTTCTAAACAATTCCAGTGAGTAGAAATAAAAAGACGATAACAAGACTGAACAAAAAAACAGGCAAACCTTTTTATAATAATTTTTCACTCTTGTTGCCATTCCGATTTGATTAAGTAAAGGTGGATATTGCTCACAATATTCAGCTAAAACTAGATCACTATCTAGACCACTTAAATCTTGTAAGCGACGCATATAAAACATTTCACCGCCGCCGTAAGCTTGTCGTTCTTTCTCTCTTTCCTAAAAATAATCTATTATTTGAGAACAAAAAAAAGCACTATTCTTATTTACAGCTGCACGAGTTTCAGCAATCTTTTGTATTGATTGAACAGGATGATATTCACCAGGTTTGACTTTGCCATGAACAACTTTTTTAATTGTTGGTCGATGAAAATGACGTAATTTGGTAGCATTTAAATGCGTCGGGAATAATTGAGTGCAAAGTTCGACGGCAGGTGTTGCATGCTGAAATAAAGAAAAATATAAGAAATAAATCTACAAAACACGAACAGAAATCTAGATAATTACTTGAAGATTGAGTGAACCAAGATTTTTTCCAACTGAATCAACTAATCTTGGATTATAATATTCATCGTTGGATAAATTCCAAAAATCATTTTTCGGACTATCGGTTTGATCATTTCCATCATCATCATTATCGATGGTTTCTTTTAATATGCCACTACCTCGAAGAACAGTACGTGTTACACGTCCGCGAGCATCCTGGAAGAAGGAGAAAAGTTTGTTTCATGTTGAGAAAATAAAATTTTCCTCCCAATACTTTATGTGGAACTTTGCCCGCTTTTGTTGGACTAATCGAAGTATTGCCATCTGTTTTTTCTCTTAACTCTCGAATATTTCGTTGTTGACGAGATTGACAATCATTTGGATCAGTTGGAATTTCAAAGATTAAATGATCATCATTTTCATCGAGAATCAATTCAGGTGGTTCGCGAATACGTTCCATATTCTAAAGATAAGAATGAAAAAACGCTCATATATTGAAATTCGATAGATAAAGTATAGTCGTGTAAGATTCAACAACAACAAAAAAGATTGAGATACTTTTATTGCTTCAACTATAACAAATAAGTTACTTAATCTTCCTGTCGATAAGCATGGTATTCATTCAAAACATACTGTTAGAGTACAGTATCGCTAGAGCTCATAGTAGAAACACTATGCAAACTCGATTTCTCTACCTTTTGTTTGTGACTTATGAAAAATTCAAATCGACTTCGATGATAATCAACTTACTTCTGGATCAATAATGATATCTTTTTCCCAATCACCATACATTAAATCATAATTATCAATAGGGAAAATTGAATACCATGATTTATATTTTGACTCATCGTCTAAAATATTTCCGAAAATCTTTTCGTGTGACTTCAACATATAATTCAACTTACCATTTGGATTTTCCAAAAAATCAACATTTTTTCCTAAAAGAAAAACACATTTTCCCATTGAAAGACGCAAATCAACCGTTCTTTCATACCAAAAACATTTTTTTGAAAACTAGCTAATGAACGATAAGTTGTTGTTGGTACCCAACCACAATATCGAATTTTTGGTGAATTCAATTCAAGTTTATCACGTAATACTGACGTATCATATACAATATCATCTTCCCAACGCATTAAATTAACAGGTAACGATGCATTTCCTGTTAGTTCACTATCACTACTTGTCGTTTGTTCTCTTGATATTTGAGTTTGTAACGATTGAGTTTGTTTTAATTTAAAACCATAATCATATGTTGGCAAATCAAGACTTAACCCAATTTGATCATACCATAAACGAGCAGGACCAACGCGCCAATTAGCTATTTTCATGTCAGCTATTGAAGTATCTTGCCCATCTGATATTGGTTCATTGATTACTGGAGGTAGACGACCGAGAAATTGAGTCTTGAAAAAAAATAGAAATGTATTTGTAAAACAAAATACTATTGTATTATCGTTTACTTACTTCATTATCAACGGCACATTCAGTTACTGTGGCTTCACGAATTTCATGATTAATGTTCTACACAAAACAGATGCAATCAGTTTTTTAATTGAAACGAAATGTCTTTTTTTTATTCGTTGTCATTTACTTCTTTTACTGATGGCCTACGTAAATTTGTCCAGAGTTTTGGTAGATGATTTGATTTACCAACACCAAATATTTTATTAAATTGAAGAATCTAAATAAGAAAAGAACAATTCGTTTTTTTTTCTTCACTCGTATTTTCAGGTAGAATTACTAACAGCATTAGGTTTAAATGCTGGAAAAAGTTCTTCTGCTGTTTTGCCGTCATATGTATTTGGTAACATTCCAGCCAATGGTTTTTTAATATTCATGGAATCCTAAAACAATTCAATTGTGAACAAAACCAAATGATAATTCTTAAATGTTACGTGAGCAACATCTGATTTATCAAACTCATCGTCGTCGTCGTCGTCGTCATCGTCATTATCATCATCGCTTGGTAAATCATCGTCTGATAATGGATGTGGTTCAAGACCACCTTCATCTGCTACGTCATCAAATAACTCCATATTATTTAATGAAGACATTCTTAAAAATCGAACGCATGCGAGAATAAATTCATATCTTTCACAACATATTTATATAGGAAATAATGTACTTTCCTATTGGGACAGCAAAAATTTGATTGGTTAAAAATTAAATCAAATAACTATTTGCCAACAAAGATGTCAGTATATAACAATTACCTTGAAAATGTTGCATATTGTCATAATTTACTGTAGGTCTATTCGCCAGGCTTCGAATATGTTTTACATGTGGACAATTAATTTAAAATGCAAAAAAATATAAATTTTGTTGATTGCTACTACGATGTTATTCATAAAAAGAAATGTGTGAAAAGTCATTCCTCATACATTTATTTGATTGTTGAGGTTGTCATTTACGACCAAAAGAAAAAAATGAATCAAAAGTCATGCCATCAAATAATGATTGCGTGTAATAGTGATTGCATTCAGGTCGCTTCGGTAATAACACAATAGTGCTATCATCAATTTTTTCGGAAAGTTGCTTCAATCTTTTATCTGGCGAAGGCAAATTCATTGATTTTTTGACTATATGAATGTACTTTTCTTTTTAAAAAAAATCATTTTTGATTATCTTTTTCAATGAGATTCCAAAGTGGAATTATGTCAATCCTATCATAATTTCCTTTTAAATCACATATGAGTAGCTCTTGTATATGTTATTGTTAATATTCAATAATTCACGATGTCATTCAACTGGTTAAAAACATTATTATTTTTCATTTCCATTACGTCTAATCCTTTTTATCAATATCTATATTCTAAATGAAATTTACTATAGATCTTTTGTTTTTGGAAGTTAACCTAAGATAACAACTAAAATGGTTCGATGATAGAAGTCAATTGTTGTATAAAATAAGAAGCCGAAAAAAAAGATCATTTCAGTTAGTAGAAAATTTTCACCGTCATATGTGCTTTTTTCCTTATTGATAATTCACCTTTTGTATGATCACTCATAAAAACACTTATGCAAAATCACTTTTTTTGTCGTCATTTCAGAAAAAAAAACGAAACCGTTAAGTGGTACCTAATATAAGTGGTTTGTACTCGAAAAGAATGGCAGAGTCTGGACAGAAAGTTAAAACAGTGCACTAAAAGTCATTCATCTTAATAGATGATCAGAAGAAAAACATACAGAATCAAAATTCAATAAATTGAGTAGAGAGCGCGCTGTAAATTTGTTTTTTGATCATCGGAGACTGGCAGCAACTTGTTTCAAGTGTCACTAATAGAAGACGATTCAATCAAATTGATGTTTCTTCTTTGACATATATATATATATATATATAGTCGTTCAGTAGTCCTTTTTCAAGTTCGTTATTTATCATGCATCATATTTATTCAATTGGAGTAAGTACAACATTAAATATTAATAGAAGACAATTTTTTAATACACTCATGCGTTGTTAATTGAACCATCATTTTATTTTCATTTTGTTAATAAGTTGACATGTTCCAGCGTCTCTGTCATGTGATTTTCATAGTAAAAAGCGCAAATTCATGTCTTTTCATGAATGAATACTGAATTAACTCTTTTCTTATTCTATTTCCTATGTGAAAGCATGAGCTAAACCATCGCATTTAGTTTGACAATAAACTTTTGATTGTTTCTCAATAGTCAAAGATTATCTGTCAGATGATAGTCTACTTCATAGCTCATTCCCATGACAATATTATTCTAATTATACTATAGACATTTTATCATAGAACGTTTTACTGAAGTAAATAATAGTATTTTGTTTTTCTACTGTTGAAAACTTTATATTTATTTGACATGAAGACAAAATAAAAAAAACTCAGCGATTAGCTGGTTATCTGGTGGAGCTTTGTGGAACCGTATTTGAGGTGGCCATGTTTGGTAAATGATAAGTATTTAAATCTACAGGAGTCCTAGAAAGAATATATATAAATTATTTAGAACAATGACGATAGTAGTTTTGTGAAAAATTATACCTTGTAATGTTTGCTGACGGTGATCGTGGGTCTTCAAAATGAATTTCAGCTCGATTTTCTTCCATGTTAAGTAAAGGCACTTTATAGATATTTTTGATGCGACGTTGAACGCTGCTCATTTGACCGTTTTAATGACTCGAGTAGATTGTCGGAATGACGTCTTGAAATAACTACTGTAATGAAGACTTTATATACAGAAAATTTGCATTGTCCTTCTCGTTCTGTTCTGTTTTTTTTCCTCGTTTATTTCATCATTGAAACCTACATAAAAAAAGAACCACCCACTTCTTTGTAGACGTGAAAGTATGACGCTATTTCGAGTATAGAAGAATAAAAATTAGTTTGCATAGTTTTGTTTTATTTTGCTTCGAAGGATGTCTTTAGTGACGGAACAAATATTGTGTCTCTCTTATAATGACATATACGCACATTATTTTTTGCATCTTCAGCACATGATATTTTTACACTATCAAAAAGAAAAAAAAAGAGAAAATAGTACGCCTTCACAGATTGACTTGTAACTCTCCTGTGGTATTTTGGCATGTCAATATTACTCTTTGTTTTTGAAGCGAATGAAAAAACAGTGATTGATATCACGTTGGCGGTAGTGATATAATCACAGCTTGATTTCAGTCTTCTACCACAGGCGAACACACGTCAAAAGCATTTTTTTTTTCGTTTTGTAAAGTGTTTATTGTGGTGGACATACAATCATATGTATGAAACAGATGTATAAAGAATATTACATCAGAACAATAATAATACAATCGTTTTTATATGATCGATCGAGCATATTCATTATAATTATTATGAGTGAGTGCGCGTGCCATATTGTCAACATAGCTATAACATGGATATATCACTTACACCATCATCATTTGAGTGAAGGGAATGGGTGGAGAATGACATAAAGTAGAAGTGCTTGTGAAAAGCACATCTGCTTCGAGAATGTGAAAAACGTTAGTAGCAATGCACAAAGAAAAACAGGGCGAAGAATGCTGAAATAAAATTTTTTGTTTCAAACAATCGTTTTATGTTTTCTTGCAAATTAGACTATGTTATCTTATTGAAATAAGATGTTCTATTGATTCAAATGATTATATTTTATTTTATTTTATTTTTTACTACATATGTTTGATCGTTCTGCATGTTTGCTGAGCCTAAGGGATGATTGAATTCTACTGTATACTGATCAAACAAACTCGGCAACACTCACTAGCCCTTATTAACAAACGATAGGATAAGATGTGAAACGATTCTGCTGTTTCTTACACGGTTCGCCGATAATCATAGAAGATTCGTTTCATTCTTCATTTCTTTTTGTTTCGGTTGATGTCCAATGAATATATTTTTCGTTCATTCGAAAAAGGAAATTGAACCAATCGATCGCGCGAAAGAGATGTTTTTCCTTTCTATGTATTTTTTTCCCCATATTTTCACATATAGGCATTAGAACAAACAAGTTGATGATGACAGTAATTAACTTACAAATTAGTTCATCATAATCAATCATTCTTGTTCTCGGCATGAGATCCGCACATGTATATATGTGTTGATGGGGCTAGTTTTGTTGTCAACACTGTGAATGACAAGTATAGTACATCATCATCATCGGTAGCAGCAGGCATCGTAGGATGTGCATTTTTGCCGACCCGTTTGAAGATAGAATCATGCTGAGCTATTTGTTTCTTTTTACAGTCTCAACTTAGATTCATCTTTCTCTTTTATACAATCATAATAACAGACATTGATGTCATTGTAAACCATCGATACGTAATCTAATGGAAGTAAAAAGGGATCGCATTGCTTTTTTACTTTTTGTTTTTTTGACTAATGGACGAAAAATATTTTACATTAGTTTCTTTTCTTTTTTTTGTGCTTTCTAGATGAGTGATACATTATTATTTTTATCCTCAACGATGCCAAATGAACATGAACGTATACGAGATATTAAATGTCATATCAATCAATTAATATCGGAATTACGCATTATCGAACCAAATAATAGTTATTTGGAAAAATTTCAACCTTTCAATATAACAATAAATTCATCGTCGACAATAATAAAAAATGAAACATGTGTATTAGATCATCAATGTCCATATTTAACTCGTAAACAAGCTATATTGCATTCGACAACATATCATGAATATAGAAAAATTCATAAGAGAAAAAACTTTTTATTGTTATCACCAAAAAAAAATATTTTCGCTAATTCAGCATGTGCGACCAGTACACCGAAAAATTCTCCAAATCAAAATACTTTACTTAAACCTCATCTGACATCAACGCCAAGACGTAATAAACGTCAATCGACAAATGCTATTCCCCTGAAACGTCTTCTTTATAATAATAATAAACTTTCGAATCGACAAAGACATGCAACTAAACGATCTATAAATCCACGTTATAGTCAACTAAACGCAATTGACGAAAATCCACAATGGATATAAATATTGTTCGTTTGTTTTTTGTACAGTATTTTCTAATCTGTTTTTTCCCTTATAACCAAATAAATAAGAATAGATCTTTTATTTCATAGCTTGTATTGCTATTATCAAGTGATGATTGATTTTCATCAAGCCAACGTGTCCATGTTTGCTTTGGATCTCTTGAAAATACACGAATAAATTTAAGTTCCTTCAAGTTCGATTGGTTTTGAAGTTGACTTAAGATTTGTTTAAATTCTTGAATACAATCAATTTCAATCGTAAGTAATTCAAGACATGGACATAGGAATGATAATTTCGGTACCATTTGTAATTTGAACATTACTTTTTGAATTGTTAATTGGCGAAGTTTAAGCATAGGCGATAAATCATATGGTAATCCAATAATTTTCAATGATAAAAGTTGATTGGAACATTGTCTAAGAAGTTTATTAAGATTGACATGATCATCTTGATCATGAATTTGTAGATGTTTGATAGTTTTAGGTAAGATTGTAAACGATGAAATCGAATGACTATTCAAGATAAGTGAATCGACTTTTGAAAATTTCGTTGTTGATTCGCAACTTATTGGGTCATAATTCAAATCGGAATCTGTTTCTAATAATTTACACGATAAATCAAAATGAGTTTTAGAATAAATTTCCGTATGAATTATATAATATAGGTAATCAATTGATAATGAAAATGGAAATGATGAACCAAGATCTGTTTGTATATGATTAAAAACGTTTTTGATATTATCGAATGAATATGAACTAAATGGAATTTGAACGAAGAAATGAAAATTTTCTATTGTAGATAAATATGTTGCTAAAATCTTTTTCCAACGACTAACATCAACATGATCTAAAGATTTCGTTGTGCAATTATATGAAAATGATTTGAGATTATCCAATGATGTTTGTAGGAAAATATATTCAATTTCATAAAAATCAATATTGGACCTTTCTAATACGTCAAGTTTCAATGTTTGCAGATTTTTACATGGAATTATATTTATTATTGGCAGACCACTATTGTCATCTATGTCCAATGTTGATGGCAATGAGACATGAAGATATTTCAATTGTGGAAATACAGCCAATAAATTGAGAAGATATGTTACATCTTCGACTGTTACTGTAAGATATTTAATATTCGATTGAAATGATAATTCATCTTCAATTTCTAATCGCGGTAAATAACAAGCATTCATCGATAATAAATTTGTTGTAATGGATTCAAAGAAATTGCACGGATATGAATTTGAATCAACGGATATATGTTCGAGTCGTTTAAGATCAGGTACCATTAATGCAAAACTGCCCAATGTCATATACGAAGGTTTAATTAATGTTATTGATCGAAGTTGTTCGAAATCATCAAGCTGAAAGTCATTGAAAAATTGTTCAAGTAAATTAATTGTTAAATCATTATTTAATTTTAATTTTCGTATTTGACGATAATAATTCGGAAAAACTATTTTCTTATAAAATTCATCATAGGTTTTTCGAGATATTGATGTTAAATCGATTGAAAAACCAGCTAATTTTAAAGCCGATTTTATTTTCCAATTAAGATTATAAAATGCATTGAAACAATCTTCGATTGAAAGATAATCGAATATTTCAAGAAAAATTTCATTTGATAAATCTTGAAATGTATTTATCGAAATCGGCATATTTCTAAGTTATTGCTCTTTTGTCAGATTGAGAAAAAAACACGAGGACTTTATATGCTTGCTGAAAAATTAAAACGGTAATTGCCCAATAGGAAAAAAAAAGTTTCATGGATGTGGTTACTACAGCGTATGGCAATTTCTTGACTCAACAAAGTTGTCGCCCAAAAAATACGAAAGAGAAAAAAAACAGAAGTAAGCATGTGTCATTAGGCATAGGAAACGAAACAACTAAAGTAAATATAGTCAAAATCGAGTGCAAATGTGACCAATATCTCGCTAGATTCCTGACTCATAACCTATTTAATTCAGTAGTCTGAATAAATTTTCATTCTTTCCCTTTTTTCAAGTAAAGTGAATAGTAGTTATAGTTAACACTCATGATGTCATTGTTTTAATGATGTGAACAGCACAATGAATAGGATTTTTTTGAAACACAATTATATAGCTACCACATAATTGTTTTTTTTATCTGTTAGAAAATGATGAATATAGACAAGAAAATTTGGCGAAAAAGAAATGTAGGATGAGTTAACGGCACTAGATGAGACAGAGAAAGTCTCCCCAGCTTCCTATCATGCTTAATTTTTTCTTCTCCACAAACTGGATAGGCCAGGTGAACTAGTCTGTCCTGCCTGTGGCGTTGAGGAGACATACTGTACCGAACGTTAGGTTCGAACCATGATATTCGTTACGTTCGGTTGGTACGTATTGTGATCATGTATGAACCCATTCGACTATATGTATTCATACTTTTATAATGAAAATATTTTAACAATGACAAATCTTCATAATTCAACTATAAAGAGTTCAGAAAATTGTTTCAATTTTGAAAATATTTGACAGTATTATTATTTGCAAATAGAAATAAATTTAGTCAAAACTTTAAAAAAAAATCTATCACATAATAACAATAATAGGGGAATATTATTTGAACATTATTTTTTCATCAACAATAAAAGAATTAAAAAAACACCAACTCTAACACATTGTCCAATCTGTATGATTTTTTGGCCGGCAAGCCACTGGACATTCTCCAAATGGATGTTTATTTATTCGACAACAAGGCCGTACACATCCAACAAAACAACCTGTGGCATTCAATAATGGTCGACGCGTTGGCCATGGTTCAGAATTTTTTCCATACCATGTAGTACATAAATGACTATCATGTGCTAGTAGATGCTCTTGAATATGGGGCCATACATAATCTGTTAGAAATGTTTGATCACCTCGGCCAGTATATCGGCTCACTAATGAACGATTTAAAATCTGATTCAAAAGTTGCCGAGCCATTGTTCGATTAAGTTCTGGACGAAAGCCCCACATACCACCTAAAATAATACAATAGAATTCCAAAGAAAAAAAATCATGTAGAAAAAAAGATGCTTCTTACCAAGCATTGGAACAGTATGTAATGGATGGTCACGCATTACATGCCATTGTTTATTTGTTGATAACCAATAATTAACAGCATCTAGCTCGCGTTGTGCCAATGGTGAATCAAGATCACGACTACCCATTACATCAACAAGTGGATCACCAACAGGTAGAAAACGCCAAATTTTTGGTGGCATGTAGCTATTTACATTACGTAGATTTCCCATCGCGCTTGCATTACAAAAATCAACATGATTATGCGCACATTCAATCGGACAAATAATATCTTCTTTGATCGATGAGTCATGATAGATTCGTAAGATCCAGCCAGGATAAATATTTGTCATGTCATCAATAAGTTCATATAGAAAATTCAATGATGTTTTAAAACTAAATAAAGTATTTTCTTTCGGGCCATACATACTAATAGCTATAATACGTTGATGAAAGCCACGAAATGTTGCATATTGACTACAAAGAGATGAAGATGTTTCATCAACAACTAGAACATTAGATGCATATTCAAAAATAGGTCGTGCACACGAACAACCCTGCCGACGATAGAAAACAATTTGCTTTTTATTCGAACCAATAGATGAAGAAGTTGCATGTGGTTGAGCGGGAGACTTAATAAATATTGTTGATCCATCGAAAAACCATCGGATAACGCCTAATATTATTAGTAGAATACAAGTGATGACCAATGACGAATTATGTCTAAGATTTATTGCTGAAAGAAATTTCATTGATTCGATGAATCATTCGGAGGAAATCTATAACAATATTTGAATCATATGTAATGTATTTAAAAATGTTTATTCAGCTCTTTTCTTTTCTTCTCCTTCTGACTAATTCAAGGTGCATTGGCATGAAAGAGAACTGAACCGTAATGCTTTATCGATCAATGCATGTCTTGAATTTTGCGAAACGGATTAGCTGCACTCATATTGTTCCGAATAAGAGGAGAAAATTATCGAGGATTATGCATTTTTCTTTGGCAAATAAAAGTACTTCATTCCGCTCTGTCATTCTATTCGTTCAGATACTTTTGACATTAATCAAATCCATTCCCATGCAATTGTCTCGTTTAATGAAAGCGTAAATGAGTCCCAATTTTCTTTTCAAAGAAAAAGAACCTTGACACAGGGAAAATTACTGTTTCTTTTGTTAATATCGACCAAAACTAGATCTTACAAAATTATTCTTCGCTTAAAAAATGTCACTAACAAACAACGAAATCTAACTCTCTATTCAAACTGAAACAATGAAAATAAAAGATTTTATTTATTGATTAACTATTGTGTCAATATTGGTAGAATTATATTATTGATAGTGTTACGATCGTATTGTTCCCATACAATCGTAAGACGGAGAGAGATACCCTTTCTAGTAAAATGGTTAATACGTCTGCCCGGTAAGCAGGAGGTGCATGGTTCGATTCCATGCGAAGGGGGATTATCCTTTTGTTCCGTTCTGTTGTCATACCATCACGTTGCTGTCTCGCTGATAACTGAGTATAATAATGTGAGCGAGAAGAAGACATAACAGATAGTAATATCATTTTTGTTTTTCATTTTCAAGAATTACATAGAAGAATCATATTTTACTTACATCGTTAGAAGACTTTTCCTTTGCGGCAAAAAATGAATTCATTAGTATCTGAACACAAGTATAGAACAGTCATGAAGTTAGATCATAATATAAAACATTAAAAACTTTGAATAAAAATGCTAGATTGTTCACATTTTAACACTTGAAATCGTTCTCTAAAAAGAAGAAGATTCCATCAAGAGAATAGCATGCTTACAGAAAAAATAAAATGTTCCGCGTTCCCTACGACTTGTTCGGAAGAAAATATATCAACCATTATTATAGCAACAAGTTTGCTTACATCATCAACTTTCTTTTTTTTCTGTCTCAATGCAAGAAAGTAAAAAAATACGTTGTTTAGTTCGTCTTTCTTCTTCTCTCTTTCTGCCATTTAAAATGCGTCCGATTTTTACAACGATATAAATCTAAAATAAAAAAGCAATAAAAGCGCCACGAATCAGCAGTATTGATTTTTTTGAGTATTAAAACGTTGTAAAAAAAGTATTATGTTGTCATCAGCTCAAGGAAAGCCAGCGATATTTTATACTGATAGTCGATACAATAAATAGCATTTTAATATGAACAAGAATATAATTGATATCTAAGTGCACAAAACTTAATGTTGCCTTTGTAGGAGCTGAAATTTTAGAATAGACTGCACACAATGAATTCGTAATCTAATCTCAACGTGAAAATTTATACGACCGTGTTTCATACTGATTGAATATAACTCTACATATAAAACATTGCTTCTATTTGATTTTCAATTGAATGAGAATATGCGTGACGAATAATCACGAGTAAGTTTTTCAATATGAAAATAGAGAATAATTTTCACGACAAAAAATTTCAGTTGTTCGGTTCTTTAGATGTATTTTTTTTGTAACTGTTGATGTATCCTGAAGTATGAATGCTTCAGTTATAGTTAAAAACAAATCGAACAGCAAACATAATTACATTTATTACTAGAGAAGAAAAAAACTCCGCCAACATATTTACCATGAAAATTTTCAAAAAATTCTTTCTCGACTATAATAATAGGGTTCATATATAATGTCACATGTTCAGAAAAATAAGCAGACGAAGGTATTTTTTTACTTCCGTGGGTTTTCATTATTATGTATCACGAAAGAAATAAAGTTTAAGGACAAAAACCCTGTGAAACTTTCAATAAAAACTATCCACTACAGAGACGTTGTCAACTCAATCTCGACCTTTTGCTCTAGGATATGAACAAATATTGTCTCTATGCTGTACCTAGAGATCATTCTTTTAAAATAATATCAACATTTGACAAGTATGGCTGTAGAATAAATACAAAAACGAAATCTTGTGAATTGGAAAGTATCGTATGGCAGACTGCACTCGTTTTATATTCATGAAGCTGAACTCTTTTTCTCTTTCTTCCATACGTTATAAGGCAGTGTGCTTATATCAACAGTAACTAACTTCAGCTTGAGACGCAAACTGCACTTGTATTGTGACTCATTAAGAATTTCTTTTCTCTAGACGTGTGCGCAAAAAGAATTAATGTTTGATTACGATATTTCATAGAATTTTAGGACATCATGATACCATAAAAGTAACGGCTGTTTGTCCTTATCTTTTATTACTAATGATGAATGCCAATAGTTGTATTCACGACTGGTGTGAATATTTATAAAAACGGTTCAGACACTGCTCAATAATATTGTACTTCGAAAAAAAGAAAGAAGGAATATTTCTCTTCTGTTGAAGAAGGTTAAAAAAAGTATAAATACTCACCACTTCTCGCCTATAGACTTGATTTGTTAGATTTATTTTATTAAATGATTGCTTGAGGATATGGTCTGTTGATATTATGATAGATAAATCTACAGAGTAGTCGCTAAAATGTATGCTACACTTTGCAAACCAACTTTCTTTTTTGCCTCTCCATTAACAATATAAACTAGTCATATTATACCGACCGGCAGTCTATCTAACAGTCAACTCAAACCCACGATCAATCCTATTGATCTGCTAAGAATTACATTAATCGCATGAAATTTCTATAACGCTACTAGTTTTTATTTTTATTCTATTTTGAAAGTGATATTCTTTCCGATGTGTACGGTGTAGGGTAGAAAATTTAAAATAATTTTATGATTATGACAATGCTAACATATCCATCGAATTGTTTATCAATAGCATACTTGATATCGATAGGAATTAATGTCATAAACTCACTTTGTAAGAAATCTTCGATCCAATCACTTACTAACCGTTCCAGTACTGAGGCAAAGTACGTGCAATGCAAAAGCAAATATTTTATTAGTTAACTAATATATTTCTATTGAGTTGAACGCACATGATTTATCATATTTGATTTGTCAAACAGTGATAGTTATTATTACGTCCAACAATGGCCATATTATTAATTCATAAGATAACGAATTAACTTTTAGCAATAGACGACTATTTGATGAGATCAATATTACCGCTCTCAAAGTTTGCCATTATTAACTCACATTAAATTTAAGCAGCTATCAGATGAATCACTTGAGAAACTAATTTGTTTTCCTAATTCATAATAAATCTTGAAATGATTTTGTAACATTACTTGGTCAAACTTAAAATTAGATTGGTCTTATACACATTGAGCAGGTTATAATCGATGTAAATTGTGAAGCTACTGACATGTTTGATCGCCGATATCTATTCACTGTATTGCATAACGAAAAGCAAAGTGTTCTTGTCTTTAAACTTTATTGGTACATATTTTAAGACAACTCATTCTTAGTAGTCAATATGAATGCTGGGTGGCAAAATAACAGACTACTTCAACAAGAATAATAGTAACGCAGATGACAAAAATTAAACTCAACGATTCATACATAACCTGAGAAAAAAATTCTTTTTTTTTCTCGAGCGCAAACCTTCGATAGAATAGTCAAATTTCACAGCACTGACTAGCAGAAGCAGTCTGAGTACTGATTTTCAACAAGCGAAACGAGTCGAATTTAAAAAAATCAAATTACCTTGAATACTAAAGAAAAAGAGAAAAAAAAGCATAAATGCATGTCTTTCTCTTTATGAAGTATTTCGTTTGTTTGCCTTTTGTAAATCCCAATGATTTGTTGTAGTTAAAACGGCTGAATTGGCAAATGTGTTCATAAAAACACTAAGAACAGAAATGTGTGCGTTCGCCGCAAACCAAGGTTGACATCGATTTCACCCTGTGAGTCATTAATCGAAAAGAATCATGACGTAACAATTTTTACTTTTTATGACGGTGCACCAAGGGCAAAACATGAGTAAAAAATCTTTTTTTTTTTTATGTTTTACATGGTTATATAGAGTTTGTTGAGCTGATCACGAATATCACCTTTAAAACACTTTTTGGTCACGTTTTGGATGAAAAAACTTCGAAATACGAAAAATAGATATAAAATGGTTTATTTCGTAGTTTCTTTTTCAAGAAATTTCAAAGTTTCGATCAATACTAATACTGATAAGACTTCGAAACTCAAAATTCGAGTTGAACTATATTAGATTAAGAATTTTTCATCATTCATATCTGTTTCAGGAAGACTGACACGGTCGTCACATGACACCAAAAACCACCAATAGCACGTCATTCTGTCAAACCTATCTAGTCTTTTGTTCTACAACATTTCTCCAACCTTCTCATATCATTCGAACCGTCAAGTGAAGGCAAAAAACAACTAGCATGAGTTTCGATAAATTTTCTTTTCTCATAGAGAAAAACTGATTTTACTGGAAACAATGCAGTTAAAAAGATGTACTATGTTAGATACGTCATGTAACAACATTAGATAGCCAAATACATGCGTATGAGTAAGGTCTATCTTTTCTCATCTTCAAACTCTAGACGTGTGGCACCACTCATTTCACCACACGAAACATAGACTGCCGCCGTTTCATAAGAAAATATTTTCCTGAGGATCTTCAAAGATTCAATAGAGATCTTTAAATAGCTCCATTGAATTCTACACCATTTTTTTACCTATTTGTTCATGTCGAAATCGAAATTGGACGAAGTTTGACCCGAATGATAAAAACATTTTTTTTAACTGCATTGCTTCCAGTAAAATCAGTTTTTCTCTATGAGAAAAGAAAATTTGTCGAAATCCATGCTAGGCGTTTTTTGACCTTCGCTTGACGGTTCGAATGACATGAGAAGCTTAGGGAAATGTTGTAGAACAAAAGACTAGATAGGTTTGGTAGAATGACGTGCTATTGGTCGTTTTTTGTGTCATGTGACAACCGTGTCAGTCTTACTGAAACAGATATGAATGATGAAAAATTCTTAAGCTAATATAGTTCAACTCGAATTTTTAGTTTCGAAGTCTCATCAGTATTATTATTGATCGAAACTTTGAAATTTCTTGAAAAAAGTGTGAAATAGACCATTTTATAGCTATTTTTCGCATTTCGAAGTTTTTTCATCCAAAACGTGACCAAAAATGTTTTAAAGGTGATATTCGTGATCAGCCCAACGAGCTCTATATAACCATGCAAAAAATAAAGAAATAAATTATGCTCATGTTTTGCCCTTGGTGCACCTTACAACAATATTGTACAGACAATGTTTTGTCACATCAGTAGATATTTTGTTTACCTAATAATACTACATAACTATTTTTGTATCGCACTGTACATTATTTTTCTTGTGCAGTATTAAACCTGGTAATGTTGGTGCTTGCTCAGTATATAAATAAGTTCTACTACTGATTCGATCGGCAAATAATATTTGAGTTTGAGTGGTATTGATTCATCGACTATATGAGAGTGTGTTACATACATTTTATTGCAACCGAGGAGAAAATCATATACTATTTATTTAATGGTTCTCTATCAAAATATTCTTTACAGAACTCATTTTATTTGTAGCATTTCATTTTTGTTTACGCTGAATATTAACACATAGTAAGTCATACATGGAATTCTTTTTTTATTGAGATTTATTCAAGATTATCATTATTCAATGGTAGAGTAAAACGTATTTTTTTTCTTACATTTATATATGATTAGATAAAGAAATCACATTGATGCCTTTAAATTTCGACGAAAATAAAATTCATATTTTAACTAATGATTAAAATACTTTTCCCAGATTATTTCTATTGTTTCACATAACCGAATAAGCTCCTTTTTCTAATTCATCATGCTGAACTCAACTTACCCACAACAAAATGAAGATGATGTGTGATGAGCACGATACTTTGAAATTCCAGACGATTTTTGAGCTGAACCATTATTGAAGCAAATCGACCAAAATCCTTTAGATCTCCATAGCTTTGATATGTCGGCGATATTCTTATTTTATTAAAATTATTTTGACGTTATGACAAAAGTTTTGTATTTTTATTGTGTGCATCGCGCATCAGGTAACACCTAAGATGGCTACTTTACGACCTGTTGGTAAGTCATTCGAGCTGTAAATTCACGTTAATTTTATTCTAGTGGCTTTTTTCTTATTCAAACCATAGTGCAGCACTCTAGAAAATCTTGATATTTACATCTCATTTCAGGGTGTGGATGTGAGTGTCGATGAAGAAGAAAACACTTACACCCACACCCAAATATAATCAGTAAAATCTTTTGTAGGAGTGCTATTTTTAAGTCACGCTGAATATGTTTATTGGTCTCATTATCAGTTTTTATACCAATATGATGAACGTCCATACACATGAACAGATTAAAATCTCTAGCCTCTATAGTATAACAATAAAACAGTTCACATCAACCAATTCATTTTTAGACTTTCCATTAGTGACAAAATTACAGTATGTGAATTTTCATTCTTGTACTGAATTATAACGCGTGAGCCATAAAAAGAAAGACTTATGATCTCAGTATTTGTCTAATATTTTCATTAGTTTCATTTCCGGTAGATTCAGTATATAAATTGACCGTGTATGAATAAAGAAAGAAAAAAGCTATTACAGGATTATTAAAAGTATCTAATATCATTCAATTTCGAGAAAACAATATATAATTCACATGTATTTATGTGTTCTCTAATAAAACTATGCAGGTTAATGATAGTAATGATTCTGTAGAGCTCCAGAAGCTCTATCTTAGAAGTCAGCTCTAAAACTTTCCTAAACAAACGTTTTTGCTAAAAAGAAGTACTATATCAACTGCATATTAATACGAAGCTGAGTTTTATTTCACATAAATACGGCTTATTCTTTTATCATATTTTAATCAATAAGCTTTTGTTAAAGAAATGTTTCAATATACGAGTACAATAGAGCTTTTGGAACTCCACGAACCTGTATTTTGTGTTATGAAATTTTTACGTTTCATGTTTGTCGTATTGGTACATTCACTGTTCTCATCCTTTTGCTTCGTGAAGTATAGTCGCATTTTTCTTTTTGATATCGTTACATTCCTTGTGCATCTGCCTCTCTAAGTCGATAAGAGAGGAATGATGGGAGAGGGAGTTAATAATAATGGTCATAAAAATGATCACCTTTCCGGAAACAAATATGAGATATTGGAACAGGGATCTATATCAAATGTTCAAGTTGAATCCATATCAAAATTCTATCGGAATGCCCGGAAGCAGCTTTAAACGTACACAAGTTTCTGCAAACAAATTATTCCAAATCAAATCAGCAACAACAAATAGTGCAACCAGTGAATTGAACTCCTAGGCGTAGACATCCGCTAGACGAAAGTGGAAGTTCGATCAACAATGGAAGGGGTCGTCGTAAATATCCTCGAAAAGGTATCGACAGCAATACACATAAGCAATCGCAATATATACAACAGGAGATTAATTTACAATCACAACAACCATCGTCTTCAATGTCGTCAGGTGAAAGACAACATCAAGTGATAAATCAAGCTTCTATGAATCGTAAAAGAATTTCTTTTAATCAATTGAAGCACTCGGTATCTTCTAATATGCCGTGTTTTTTTTTATTGAATTCACCTCGGATGCTGATCGTCATAGTATTCCAACAGCTCTTCATGCGAGTGATCTTATACTTAAAGAATTACAATCGAAGGGCGTTGTAATTAATAAGTTTACATTAGTAGGATGGTTAGGGGAAAAGCTCAAGTTAGGTGTTAATAATAAAGAAGATTACGTCACTCTCGTTGGTTCGCATAAATGGCCTACAAAAATAAATGGAATTAATATTGTCATCGCGAAACCTAGATATGTACCCGATTCATTTGTTCTTGTAGTTAGATATGTTCCTAGGGAACTAGAAGGACATTTTATCTCAAATGAAATACAAAGAATGATTGTCTCTGCAGACAGAATTAAACGTATTCATTATTCCTACCAAAGAAGAACATATGATTATCGATTCGATGTAAAAGATTATAGTGAATATAATGCTGTGCTCCAACTGGGTCGAATAGCAATAGGTCATTCGTGGTTATCGATCAACAAGTTTTACCCTGGAAACTGTCTAACGTACTGCACAAAATGTTGGTGTATAGGTCATTTAAGAAATAAATGCAATTCAGAAAACAAATGTCGAATTTGTCTTGAGAATTTGATGGTAGATACTCCGTATATGTGTAAAAATGAACCGAAATGTGCTCAATGTGATGGAACTCATCATTCATTAGATAGTCAATGTCAAGTTATAAAAGAATATAAGGACCAATTGAAAGAGAATGTTGAAGATGCGATACAAAAAGGATTATTACAACGATTATCACTGCAAGAAAAATTGCCTATATTCGAACTCCGTGATTAAGATTTTTCACCATTTCCAACAAGTGATAATCATTTATAAAAACAATGGAATATTGCGCAACCACGTACAACTGTCGAGTCGATTTTTCTACGTACATCAGATACAGAAAAACATTTGAATCTATCAAGGATAATCTGACAAAAATTATCGATAGTAACAAACGACTAGAAAATAAAGTAGATCTATGATCATCCAGCATGAAAACCGTTACGCTCGGCACTCAACTACATCAAGCAGCCCTACCAGATATTATCAACATTATGAAAGATTTTATTTAATATTTTATACTAGCAACGTTAACTTCTGGCAAAAGTGAAAGAATATCGTTGGTATCAGTTGCGAACGAATACTACAGTCGCTTTCATGTTGCATCCTCAAGATTAATAAATGGCTTCCAATTAAATCACCAGGCTCAATTGATTCCAACTTCGCATAATAATAGCATCGTTCAAACCGATCAACAGCCTTCATCAATATACAAATCAACACAGAATGGTAAGTAGAACATCAAATCTTAATGTGCCCACTAAAGTTTTTTTTCTTCCTTCACATAATTATTTATACAATCCTAGAGATGAGGCTTTGCACCGGCTGAAAACTTGGAATTTTTCAACTAAAGATCAGGAATTTAGTACTATATCTGTTAGACGAGTAGTACACAGGTAGGACCTTGAATATAGTCTTAGAAGAATGGGAAAAGGTTGTAATAGCTTCCTTATGAAACCAAAAAGAATATATAAGGATTTTTGTGCTATAATGTCGAAGGTTGGGACACTCGTGTAGTTGAAGCTATTGACTTAGTGTATAAAGTTCAAGCTTCTATTTGTATATTTACAGAAGTAGGAGAGTTATAGAACACATGTCGATTACCACATTTTAACACGTTCTATCAAAAGGGTGCTAACAAAAATGGAGGAGTATGCATAGCAGTAGGGGGTCATCTGAAAGCGACGCGCATCGAGGTTAACATTCCAAACACGGTTATTATTGATATAACAGGACTATCGGAACCAGTACGTATCATTGGTATTTACTGGCCCACTAGTCAACAGCGTGATCTAGATGAAATTCAGCCGTTTGTAATAGAAGGTACCATACTATCAGGTGACTTTAATGCAACAGTGAAAGAATAGAATAGTCCAACAACTGATAGGAGAGGTGCGTGCGTTAGAGAATGGATAAATGAAAAACAATCTCAATGATATTACGTCCATGACCAACACGTCTAAGCGCTCCCTACGTAATTTACATTTGCCGTTCTCTAATATGAGTACTATTTCAAGTGAGACATTATGTTTTGGCACTAGTGATCATTGGCCAATTTTGCTATCATGTGATAACATTTTTTTCGATACAAACGTTTTTTCCCTCTTACAAATTAGAAGATATTTGAAGTAGTATTAGCGCTATTACAAATATTCTGGATGGAAGAACAAAAGAGAACTAGATGGTATTCGAATTTCACTCGTATACGAAATGCGATGCGAAGCATTAATTCGTATCTCTTACGAAAAATCGTCAATTCAGAGAAATCTTAAATGCATTTTATGTCGACATGACGAGTTTCATCACTGAGAAAACTCTATTCTTATTTAGCGATATATTCTTAAAGATCGATTTCGATTGATCGATTAATTATCTTCATGATTCATTATCTTAGATCAGCTGTCAATGAATAGACTATAGTGGCTAACATATGTTCATGACGTCACTTTAATTATCTCTTGATAAATTTCTTTCATTTTCGTCATTTCGGAACGACATTTGTGAGTGAATGGAACTTCAGATGTAAGCAGTTCGATCGTGATACTTTGATCTCACGTTTCAACGAATTTTCTATGATTTATGATTCTCGAGATCATTGCGACACAAAACGACGACTGTGATGCGTGCGTCAAGTAAGTAAAAGAATTTTAAAAAAAAAGCGACGGACTACATAATTTGCTTCTGCTTCGCATCGCATTAAAATAATCCTTGAAGGATTGCATGAATGGTTCTGCTTCGCGTCGCATTAAAAACTCGCGACGGACTACATAAATGCTTCTGCTTCGCATCGCATTAAAATAATCCTTGAAGGATTGCATGAATGCTTCTGCTTCGCGTCGCATTAAAAACTCGCGACGGACTACATAAATGCTTCTGCTTCGCATCGCATTAATAAAATAAAATAAAATAAAATAAACTCGCGAAGAACTACGCAAATGCTTCTGCTTCGCATCGCATTAAAAAACAATTTCTCCAAGGATCGCTATACACTGCTTCGCACCGTAAATAGTGCAGATGAGTGGTATAAGCAATATATTCGTTTCATCGCGGCTGTTAAAAACAGAGTGACTCATTGGAAAGAGAGAGATAAATATAAACCATCGTTACCGACTTATATCATCGAAAAATTAAAAGAAATACGAAAAGTGAGAAATAGATATTATCATTCAAGACATAACAGAATTTTTAGTGAGGAGGCGAGGGTGCTTTTACGCACAATGGCAAGAGAATTAAAAGTTGATATAGCAAAACATAAAAATACTCAATGACAAAATTTTTTATCTAACATTCAAACGTCGTACGATAAATCAGATAAAGCGTTTTGAACACACTTATCTCGCATATACAAATCGCGTTCGCTGCCATTCTATAAACTATTGGAGGGCACTAAAACCCAAGTAAGCAAAAAATGAAGGAAGACTGCCGACATGACTAGTCAGAAATGTCCGCAGGATCCGTCTAGTCTAGTCTGAAATGTCTTGCATACCCGTCTTGTCTAGTCAGCTTAATGAGNTGACGGATAAAAACTCAGACTAGTCGTGGACGAGTAGTTTTTGAGACAAAGACTAGACGGGACGGGTCGACTTGACTAGAAAAAAGACTAGTCATTTAACCAGTCTTTTGCTCACTTGGGAATAATATCAACACAATAAGGAATTACAAATGAATTATTCCAGTACTACAGCGAACAGTTCAAAGTACCTGCAGTGGATTGTTCCAATGAACATAAAGACCAGATAAATAGGAAGTATAAAGAGTTGGTAAATAGATTATCAGTGTTGAATGATAGCGTAGAAAAAACTAGCACTGTCGAAATTACGCGTATAATTAAAACCTTAAAGCCTAAGAAATCAGCAGGCCTTGACTCAGTGTCAAACTTTATAATTAAAAAACTTCCTCCAAGTTACATCAAGTGTTTACCTAAAAGCTTCAATACATGGTTAAACGAGTGTCGTTATCCAGATGAGTGGAAAATTGCAAAAATCATTACTCTAAATAAGTTGAAATCGGGTATCCAAAAGTGTGAGCAAATTCGACGATCAATTTCCTTGTTAGCTACACATTCAAAGCTATTTGAAAAAATGCTCTTACTAAGAATTAGACGCTGGGCTGAAACAAATCGTTTAGTACCGCCAGAACAATCTGGTTTCCGCCCAAAATGTCTTCTATCAACTCGAGTACTTTCGATATGCCAGGAAGTGAAAAACAACATGGCAGCTAATATTCCGACGCTTGCCCTATATGTTGATTACCAAAAGGCTTATCATCGTGTATGGCATGCTGCTCTCCCCTGTAAACTAGAAAAAATGAGTATGCCTCTCAACTTATTAAAAATGACTAATAGTTGGTTAAAAGAAAGAAAGGCTTACGTAGAATATGATGAAATAACTTCGAAAATATTTAGTATAAATATAGGACTGCCGCAGGGCAGTAGTCTTAGTCTGTATTTTTATTTATAGTGTTTCACTCAGATCTAACAAATTATCTAGGAACTCATTTATGTCATTTATTTGCAGATGACCTGTGTGTATTAATTAAACCGCCAATAATGAAAAATTTAGGCTCGATGATTGACTACTTAGAAAAAGAAGCTACAAGAGTTTGTAATCAGGTTTTTATGCACTCAAAAAAAGTAGAAACAACCGTTAAATGTTTCTAAAACTGTAGTACAATTATTTCATACACAAGTTAAAAGACCGATCGTAAATGTAACAATAGACGGTAACAAAATCGAGTTAGTCAAAGAATTCAAATACCTAGGATTTACTTGGACGGATAAACTTTCGTTGAAAGCAACAGTTGATAAAATCATAGGAAATATTCAGAGATCGTTAGAAAAACTGAAATGGATAAAGTCTGGTCACAAAATGTCATGTAACGCGCTTCGTCAATGTTTCTTCACGTACACTTTTCCGCATTTCGCGTGGCTATTTCCCCTTTTTTCTCTACTACCAGTATCTCAACAACATGTATTAGAACAAAAATTCCGTGTAGGTCTTCGGTTGGTGCATCGCTGTCCCTTTCTTTCTGCGCATAATCTATTGAAAGTCACTTCTGAACAGCCCTTACAATTTTATGTTAAAAAATATATTCAACGCAGATTGAAAACCATGTTCATAACTGATCTTGGTTCTTCCGCCTTCTATGAAGATATATTTAGCTGGGATAATTTTTTAAAAGGAAAAACGATCACCTGGGTCGTTTTTTTTTGCACGCGTCGTGTGCGGCAATTAAAAGATCGACACGAATCGTTCCTTTTAACGTGATTGGCTTCTGTTGATGCTAATTAATATCACAGAATGATGCAAAAATGTAATGCTTTACGCAAATTTTTTCTTCCTTTTTTCTCTCTCGTTCGCTCTTTTAGTTTGTTCTTCTTTTTTCTAGCTGTTCGCTGCACTCACGTATCTTCGCTGCCGCTTATCATCAGTACTTCCCTCTTTTCTTTTTTCACCTTTTTAATTGATTTTTCATTTATTTACTCTCCAAATATCCCTACAAGCGAAAATTGATACGCAGCATAATATATTGTTGGCACAAATTGTAACGCGTTGCTTAAAACGATGTAGCTTTTCGCTGATACATCTATATTTCTTTTTTTCTTATGTAAGCACCTCCGAGTGTCACATTCACGAGCATAATAATAATAAAAATTCACTGTTCTGTTTGCTTTTCTCATTATGATATTTAGTTATCATTGCCTGCGTAAAGAAGAAAAATGCTGAATTTTTTTT